GTATAAAAAAAATTTAATTTATGCACAGAAATCCCATCCATTAAATAATAAATATTGCAGTTTGGTTAGTTTAATTCCAAACGAATTTTTTAACCATAACAATTATAATTATAAATATTCAAATCCAAGTTTTACTAAAAAAAATTAAACACAGGGCGGTATTTTTGGGCACAACTTTATCCTTGAAATGCCATTCATTCAAGTTGCACCTATGATATTTCCCCTATTTATCTGCATAATTCACACGCACCGAACCCTTCTCATTGACCGAATCCTAACCCGAGCCCCGAAAAAGTGCAGAAAAATATTCAAAATAAATAAACAAGCGGCATTAATGAACGGCAAAAAATGTGCATGGCATGCAAATTTATTTGGCGCATTAATAAACGCAATGCGAAAAACGAGAACGGACAATCGGCGGACGAAATCCAGAGCCACATAAACAGGATATGGGAGATGGGAACTACGGGCATCGAAATGCGAAATGCGAAATGCGAGTAATTATGTATGTTTGTGAGTATTATAATTAACATTTCTGGGAAAACTCGAATGCGTTGAGCAGGACAAAAGGCGAAATCCCAAAAAAGATAAAAAGCCAGACAGGCGGACGGACGGACAGACGGACGGACGGACGAAAGGACGGACCTTGTGGACCGAGAGGTATGTAAGTGAGGATAGGGATTTTGCGCCTTGGCTCACACACACAACACACACATTATAAATGAGTCGAGCTGTCCGCATCCTTTGGTGTTGTTGTTCTACTGGTTTTGCCAGATTATGTGCGGATTTTTGCACAGGCCAAAGGCAGCCAAACAAAATAATCATAATGAACGGCATTCATGCACTGTGGAAATAGAAGGAGGTACTCTAGAAAATATCCTGTCGAAATTCTACAAGGTGGACTCTATACCCCACTTTTGGCTTTTAGAATACAAAGTCTTTAAATACAATTAAATATTGCTTGCATTATATACCATTAGTTAAAAATTAGTGCAATATTAATACCGAAAATGCTGTTAAACGTTAAAACGTTTTAAAACGTACTCAAGCTTATCTCCTGATAAAATTGAAACCCTAAAGATGTTTAATTAATTCTTAACCAGAGTAAGTAATTCATTAAATGCACTTCAAAAGATATCCAGCCTTAGTTTTATTTGAATAACATTAGCTCTGAATTTACATTATCCTTACTTTAGGAGCATAGTTTTTTGCTCACTGCATATCCAGTCATTGGGATGTACTCACATATACATGTGAGAACTCCAAGTAGTTGGCCACAGACACCGCCGAAAAAAAGTACAAAAAATCAGCACACAAAGCTGAAATTCAAAAGAAAAACAAGACCGAACCGCATCTCGATCCTTCGCTTGCAGCGGGTTCCGCCACTCCTCCTGTGGAAACCCCCTGAACCTCATCACCTTTCTCAGGTGAGAAGATTTTCTCTCTTTCTACCCGTAAGGCAGCATTCCTGTCGGCTCAGGCCAAAATCTTTGGGGGGAGAGGACAATCAACTCGCAAACAACTCGCAGAAACAGCAACAACAATAGGAACAGCAAATGCAATAAAATGAACAACAACAACACCGCCATAAAATATACCAACCATATACAACAACAGCAACAACATACCAATAATAAACAATACAAAAAAATGCAACACTACCAAAAACAACCATAAGTTGAAAATCCCATTCTGGATTCTGGACAACTCATGGCTAACTCAAAGCGCTTGCGCCTATTTAATTTGGCTGCCGCCAACATTTCGAAGCTCCCACAGATTCCAGATTCCTCTGCCTCCAATCCCCTCCCCCCGCACAACCTCCCCCTCCCTCGTTGTCTTGGCATCTTGTTAACGATCATGGCAACAGGATTCTGCTATTTTGTCGCTGCTGCCCTGCGCCACACAGTAAAAGGTAAAAAGAAAACAAAAAGTCAAGAAAAGCAAGCCAAAACGGCAAGAATGCTGATGGAGGCAGGTCCATTAAGGATCGAATGGGGGCTACCCTTGGAAAACATACCAATCAAACCATCAAAGTCGTTAAATATTACTATTAACATATTAAAGCTGGATTAAATGTTTTAAAACAACATGTATATATACATAATAATATACAATAGAACTATAGTTCTATTAACTTTCGGAGGAATAAATCACGCTTTGATTATTGATCATTGATAAATATCCAAGGACTAAAGTCATAAAACCCTATATTGAGTTAGATGGTCATACAAAAAGAAGCCAGAGATTTTGATGTACATTAACATATATACTATATATCCATTACAATATATACTTTTAAAAGGTTAAGATTAAAACCAAATTAATGAAATTTAAATATTTGTAACTTTTACCACTTCGAAATCGTTTAATTTGGCAAAAAAAAAGGTCTTTCAGAAAATATAATTTAATTTTTTTTAAAAAACTTTAACAATGCTTTAGTAAAATACCATTTTTCTTTAAGAAAATGCATTTGTTATTATGAAAGATTACAATAGCTAAACTATGGTCTAATTCTGATTCTTTGCTCCAGCTCAGGTTATCGTTTTTGGCCGCAATCCAATGGGTATGGAGGATGGAAAAAAAAGTATGCACATTCCGGAGGCAGCCACACATCCACAGGCACAACCTCATCCACATCCATGTTCCGATCAGCGGCATCCCAAAAAGAAATGTGTCCAGCACACGCACCACCAAACACACGCATACACTTGGCGAAAATCGCAGCGTCTGCGAATGCAAAAGTAAAGGATTGGCGAGCAAACAGAACAGCTAAATGCAAGTCCGCTGGAGATTGGAGATCCCTGCCCTCCGGGAACACCCTTCCTTCGTCGAGGAACTGTTGTTTACTTCGGCACCACCCAAGAGTGCTACAATGTTGTGCTCTTGGAATTTGGCTTTCTCCTGTCGCCGGCTTTATTAGCCAAGTCTGCACTCGCACAGAGACACTCGAGCACTCGAGGACCGAACACATACTACCACGCGCCTGGCCCACTCACCACTCGCCGCTCGCCACTTACCACCCACCACCCCCCGCGCGAAACAACTCTTGCACCGAAATTCCACAAAGAATCTTAAGTGTATACAATATGAATGTCTGGGTCTGGGGCATTCTGCAACTGCAACTGCAACTGCAACGCCAACGGAGGCAGCGACGTCCGCCGAAGACCAAGACGAAGTCGAGGACGCCTCGGTGACTTTCGGATCCGAAAGCCTGGGCCTTCGCTTCGGAGGTGCCCACTTGGGCCTTGGAAAAAAGCTGTAATCCTCAGGCCAACAAATAGTTATACGCTTTTAGCACGTTTATAAGGATTACCTCCAATGAAACTAGCACAACAGGACCTCATTTTGTGATCAGCATATATACAGTCAGACTTTCATAACACGAACTTCTAAATTTCGGAGTCGCTATAACATATAGTAGTAATATATACACTAAAAATATATTCCATAACTCAAAGTCTTAATAACTCTATATCATTTTACTGTTAAATGGTGATATGGAAATTCTAGAAGTTCGACAGCAAAAATAGATTTTTGTCTGACAAACTGTAAATCTAACTAAGCAGATCAAAATAAAAATTTAATTAAATAATACTAATAGTTTTAATGATTTCTTAAATAATGGACTCGTATAAAAATATTAAGCACTTTTTATTTATTTTGAAAATCAAAACAAACCTTAACTGTAGAAAACCTCATCTAAATTTTTAGAGGACAAAAATTGCCTTAAATTCTATGTTAAAGGATTTATCAAACTTGTAAAAAAAATTGTTCAAAACAATTAGTTTCTCTTAAAATATCAAAAAATATCAAAAAAACAATATTTAAAGAAAAGTTTTCAGTCTATTTTGAGAAGTGGACCAGCAAGATCATCTCCATTTATAGCAGTTGAAAAATGTATTTTATTGGTAAACATTTGTTTGGAGATCTGCAATTCCGTTTGTGTATTTCAGTTTGCGGTGTGTTCAAAATGCATTTTTGCGTTCGGTGAATCTATTTTTAATATAGTTTATGAATTTACTCAAAGTGTAGGTGGTATTTAGTGGTATACCCACGTATTTTCCCTCCCAACTTAAAAAGTAAGGAGTCTAGAAAAGTTGAAAAGGATATTCCCAAAATCCAAGCCCCGAAAATAAGCCAGACTTGATAGCCAGGCCATCAGCACCGATGCGGAGCCATGAAACCTGGACGTCGGAGACGTAAACACAGTCAGTGGGCGAGGGCGCAGGGGAATAGGGGGCGGGGCAGGGAGTCAGAGATCGGCATCGTATCTTGAAATGAAATGCAAAGAAAAGAAAATAACAAAAACAAAGTTTCTCACGTTCCTCTTCCTAAATTCTTGGAATTGCAATACATTAAAAAGAGGTCTTTGCTTCGTCTGCATACACATGCACTTCTGGGTGCGTGTGGTGAGTGTGTGGAGGTGTGTCTGTGCCTGTGTGCGAGTGTGTGTGTAAGCGAACGGACGGCGGACGAACGGACAAACGGACAACGGACAGCAGTTTTGAGCCGTGCTACAAGCGAACGCCGCCACCGCCACCGCCCGTTCAACATATTCCTTTTTCTCATCGATTTTGAGACCTATAAGTGAATGTGTCGATTGAGTGCACTGGAAGAAAAAGAGAAAATCCAAGGGTTATGCTCCTTAGTTAATATAATTGATATGAGGATGCATGCACCCTTCAACTCCTTTTAGTCCCAAATATATAAAGGAAGTAGTTTAGTTCCTTAAGGGATAAATACTTTTAGATATGATACAAGTCTTAAACATCCATTATTTCAAGCTTTGTGTAGTAATTCCTTGGTATTTAATCATAATCACAACATAATAATAAATACAATTATCGATCAATTACTTAGAGATAACGTAAAATAATCTCGTATAGATGTAACAATATACCCACGGATCTTATTTCTAAAACCCTTAAAAAAGAAACTCTCTGCTCTAGTTATTTTCAAGCCTCCATGTTGGGATAGTTTTTTGATATTACATTTTTAATCTGCCGAAGGATCCTTTCTCAGCTCTCAGTACTAGTTACAAGTGTACCCCGTTCTTTCAGTGTAATGATGCATAATGCTGCTGTTGAGATTCCTCGTGTTGCTGTTGTTGGCCGATGATGTTGCCGTAGTTGCTTTTGCTGTTGCTGCTACTTTGGCAATATGTTTTCGTATTTCCCCCCCCGTTCTTGACTTTGCTTTTTGGACTGCGTTTGGGCGGCCGCCCAGTAGAAGGAGGTGCATGATGATGGGGAGTGCGGATGGTGGGGCTTTGGGGGGAACCACGGGGAAGGGGCAGTTGGAGCTGGAGCTGGAGCTGCAGACCCAGACCCAGGCCCATAATGAAAGTCGTCTCCATCGTCGTCTGCATCTCCGTCTCCGTCCGTCGACATCGTCGGCGGTTTGATCAAATGAATGAATATTATCATCGATGCCTCTTGAATGTTGAACGAGCTGACTTGATGACCGTGCACCGGAGCGAGGCTCGTAAAGAATTCTTTTTTGTTGTTCTCCCAGTCTTCTCTTCCCCTGTTGTTGTATTGTTGCACCCAGCGAAGGTGTGTGTGTGTGGTGTGGTGTAGGTTGTTTGATCTAATTGGTTCATCGAACCAAGTCTCGCAGAGCCTCGATCTCGTCTGCCATTCCCCGGATCCAGGATTATGATGTTGGAGCCCATTTTTGCCTTGCCAATTTCGTGGACAATCATAGGCCGAGCCATAAAAAAACGAAGAGTTACCACAACGAACTGGGCGGAGGTGAAATAGGTGAACACTTAAAACAAAACGCTTTTATCCCTAAAAAGGTGAACCCCTATTTCAAAGAATACGTTGCAGTTTTTAAGACTCACTTAGTTCTTCATTGTCATGTCAATTTTATAACATCACTAGCAACTGTAATATTTTATCTTGATCCTATATATATTTTAAAAGGTATGCTCTTCTTATCTTCTTAAAAAATTGTAATATTTTCGGAATAAAAAACATAAGTGCCCAAAAAGAAATGTCTAAGTGCTTGTGCTAAATAAATACGGAATAATTTATTTTAAGCATTCAATTAAAATTCTGACAAGTTCAAAAAGATAACGAATGTGTATTGTGATATTATAGAAATATCTTAATTTTCCTAGACATTTTTTTTCAAAATTTGAATTTACTTTGAAATAATACTGAAAAATATAATTGTAATGAGGATAATTTTCCAATTGTCTGTCACACAAGTTATTCCAGTTATAATATTTCTTTGGTTAGTATTAAATCCACATAATTTTCGGTGATAACCTTTAAGAGTGCAGTCCGAATGCATTTCTCAATATGCATGCCCTATTTTCTCCGAGTGAAGGGCCCGGCGACATGAACAAATACAGCAGTTGGTTATTTAACAAGAGTCAAAGTCGAAATTCCAGGAATTTAGGATTGGGTTCGTCTTTACTTTCCGGGCGAAGGGCACGCGGGGGGGTCATAATTAAGTGGCCCTAAATGCCGCTAAAGGAATTTCTCGCAGGCGACATTATTATCAGTGTTTTCGGTACCCTCTTTTATGAAGCCAACTGATAGGCCACAAATTTATATTCTTCTCCGCGACCGATCGGCATCGTTTCATTATTGACTTGGCATTGATCGCTTTTCAAAGAATGGAATGTGCATGTTGGACAAACGAGGGACAATGGCTCGTCGTTGGATTTATGTGTGTGATTCGACGACTCGACTCAACTCGATTCGATTCGATTCGAGGCAAGTGCATCTGCATCTGCACCTTGGTTGGGAGACTGGAGAATACTCGTGGCTGCAAAGTGGCAAACAGGTTGGGGCACAATTGCACAATCTTCTAGAGCTTCTGTGGCTCGTCATCGGCAACGGCACAGACATTCCAATCACATGACTTCATACTGGAGTACTGAGTACTGTGTACCGAGTACGAGTACGAGTACTTGTTCTCGGCATTTTCAGTGTTCACTGTTCACTGTTCAGTTTTTTAGGTTCTCAGGCCGCCAGTCAAGTTAAACCAGTTGCCCCATGACTCAGAAATAACAGAAATAAGAGGGTGAAGGGGCGGAGGGGGAGTTGCCACTAATTGCATATGCATTTTGCATAATCTCGTAGTAATTACAATAGTTCGATCTCGCGTTTGCCATTCACAAGCCGTTTCTACCCGTCTCTTTTCGTTGCAGTTGCACTCGTTCATTCATAAAACTTGCCGCAGTCGCGGTCTCGGTCGCTGCCCCGGCCTCTGCCGACGTCGCTGTCGACGCAGACGCCGGCTGATCGGATCTGGTCTGGCTTATATAGCATAGTATAGTACTCGTATTATATGCAGCCGACCGCTTTGGCTCTGCACGCTGCACCGCCGACACTCCGCAGTGCATTTCATCACTCCGCTCGGCGTTCTTGCTCGGAATACTCTTTATCGAAGGGGCATACCCCCTTTTAAGATCTAAAAAAAGGGAGTTATAAATAATATATAATGTATTCGACCCATTTGCTTGCTTAGATATCCTGGAAGACTAATAAATGTAAGTCAAAGTTTTATATCATACCTTGATATCATTTAAAACATATCATTTACAAGTTGAATATCATACCTTGATTTAAATATTGAACTCTTATTTTGGTAATGGAAAAAACTAAGAGAGTAGTAGAATATCATGGTACTCAGTCTTAGGTTATCTTAAGGACTAAGCTACTTATCTTTAGTTTTCAACACAAGTCTTAAAATTGAACTCTACCTTGATCTGAATACTATGATCTCCACTAAAATATTTCGAAAATGATTTTCGAATTAAAGAATTTCATCTTGCCAGTAGTATTGATGACTGATGAGGAAGAATTGGTTTTACCTAGCTTTAAACCTAATGATGAAATTGTGTCATCTTATTAAACTTAAATTAACTTCCTTAGATGGTGATACTCAAAGTCCCTACTCCTGAATTTTTAAATAACCACTTACCCTTTTAAATCATGTTATATCTTGTTCAAGAAGCTACACATAAAGATTACAGATCTATTCTTTAATCAACTCCCTCCTCGTTATCACCACTGCATCCAAACTCCATGATCTCCTTGCCACCAATCTTAGCCCTCCGCGATCGTAAATCCATCAGCACCTGCGACATAGATCACCCAGGGTATTCGAATGTGCGGTGCAGCGGAGATCTTCGAGCCCGTACAACTCCATTCTTGTTTTTTGACACCAATGCACTCCGGCTCTTATCGCACATAATTCATATCTGGTTTCTCGCACTGTAGTTGTGCGTGTGTTAATCTTCCCTGTTGTTTTTCGGGGGTTCGGTTTCGGTTTTTCGGGCCGTGGCCCACTGATAAACTCAACCCGAGAGATGGGTGGGCATAAAAATTAAATGCCCGATGCAGCTCATTGTTGGCGCCTAATACTTATTGTACATATATTTCAATTTATTAATTTCGTATGCATAAATCTTGCGCTTTATTTATTCAATTTGAGTCTTTGTTGTCTGCTGATCGCTGGCGGTGGCCCTGGACCCACAGTCTCCGCTCTCGAAACGAAAGAAAAACACAATGCATCTGGCTATTGATGGTGCTGATGGGCTAAGGGGGCTTTGGTGGGGGCGGAGGGGGTTAAGGGGGCGGGGCACTATCGTTTGAGCGGCGCACATTCGATCTTTGACTTGTAAATTCTTGGAATGCAGTTAGTGGGGCATTTTAATGGAGGCTGTCGCCAGTCGAATCTCTCGGGTTCGGATGCAAACGAGGTGTACGTGCAGCCAAAAGCTGCAGAATGCCAATTATTGGGGTCAAATTTGATTAAATGTCTAATCGGTGTAACTAGCGGCTAACAGAGCGACATTTCCAAGTCAGGCTGACCACCACACTAATTAAGGCACTTGCAATGTGTCTTGGTGGCACTTGTAATATTGGTCGCCTAAAAACTACAATATGGATAACTACTCTGTAATAACTTCCATAATTACAGTGAAATCATCCAATCTCCATCATTATTTTATGATGCAAGCATTGAGAAACTCAAATGACTTATAATTATATTGACAACCGTTGAAGTTTTAATTGAATATTGAGCTCAATTCATTTTTTTATGAGGGTTCTAACCCTCAATTGAACCTAATGAATTCAGAAGTATTTGACTTATAGGATTTCATAATGCTTATAACATGAATTCATATATATTTTATGGTCAAAAGTTGAGTTCTATTTTAAAATCAAGTAATCAAATCATTAGTTGTTGAGAACTAATGAAATCCCAAACATTTTAAGACACTACTGACTTTCAAACTGTTTTACGGAATACATAATGTAAGTCGTTTTTGTTTTAAAACTAAGGAAAATAATTATAATTTTTAAAATTAATTTAAACCACCCTGAATTAACTGTCCTTCAAGAATTGAATATATATACAGTGGCTCACAGCTTATTTGAACACCTTTTTCAACATTAAACAGGTATAACTCCTGAACCATAAGAATCCGGATAAAATAAACGCAGAAGGTTAACTGTTGTTTTAACTTCAAAATATGTTTTCGTTTATTTATTTAGAAGGATTCTTATTAAAAATAAAATGTTTTTAATGTCAGCTTGTTTGCCCGTTCATCAATTAATTATAAAATTGAAAAATATTTTTAACTTTTAGTTTTGGTTGTCGTTTGGTCCAACCGACTTAGTCGTTGGGATGGATTGCCTTTGTTGAGGTTCCTGGGGTGTTTGCCCTTTTCGGAGCCGTTTTCAGTTTTTATTGGAATATTGCGTTATTTTGGACAATTCTCATAACTTAATCGGGTGACTGAGCTGGGTTTTTATATTGGGACATTATATCCAGCCATATTGAACATACCCTACTTGTTTGGGTCTTGTCTTGGTAGACCGAAACCCTGTTTTTCTTTTGCTTTGGGTATTATCTTAGGATATTAAGATAAACATTTTTTCATTATGCTTTCATAAATTTTGGTTTCCGACTCCTGCTGCGGACTTACGGCCCATCCATACGTGTCCGCCGTCATGTTAACGGTGGGTTTTGTGTTTGTCCTGCAGCTCTGTATTGGCTTTACGCCATACATTTAGACCAAAATATTACGTTTTTCGCTGATGGTCAAATTTAATATATTTGGTCCGAGGACGTTCTTAGCTATGGCGTAAAGCCAATACAGAGCTGCAGGACAAACATCAAAACCCACCGTTAAGCTGCGGGGCACGTTATGGTTGGGCCTGTAAGTCCGGGTCGGAACCTAAATTTTTGAGCATATGATAAAATGTTTATCATATCCTGGTTTACCAGTGTGGTTGGGATACAGGGTTTGGTTCGATGATGTGGGTTGTTTATTGGCTGGGTATTGTCCTTGATCTCCGCTGTCCTTATGTTTTGTTGTGGGCTTTGGGGACTTTGGGTTTTCCTAATCTGGCTGTCATGGGTTCACCGGCCTCAATTGGTTACGACTAAGTGGTGCAAAAAAATTTTTTCTTTTATATTTTGTGACTGGGTTGCTTGTTTTGTTTTTGTTTATTGTTCTTGGTAATAATTTTTTGGTTAGCCCTTTTTCTCTTGGTGTTTTGTATGTACTTAGAAAACTAAATAGACTCTTAGGGTAATGTAGTTGCGATTTTGTATTAGCAATGCCGTATCATTTTGAAACAATGTTCAAATTCTTTTTAATGAAATCAAAACTAGAACACTATGATGTAAACGAAATAATAATACCAAGAATAACACCCCACCCAGTGTTTTGATCGTTATTTCCACTATTTAGGTTTCTTACTGTTTATCAACAATCGAGGTAAAGAAATGCTTTATTGTTGATGATATCGTATAGAGCTTCTCAAATGCGTTCAAGTTCAAAGTCGATCGAGTATTCGACGGAAATGGGAAAAATATTATTACAAGGCAGTATTACAAACAAATTCGGCGCCATTATGGATGGGCGCCATTTTGTAGTCGCCTGCCATATGGACAATATAAACATGCAAATAAATTGATAGTATTGATAGATGGTTCCACTTCCGATGCGCTTGCAATTCGAGCTGTCGAATATGCAAATGCAATGGGAGACAAAATGGCCGACATTTTATTTGGATTTGGAACTGAACACGTCCACAGAAATTTCTACACCTGACGGCCATTTTGTTTTTCGGCCTCTTTCATTGTTGTATTTTATTTGTTGTTGTTAATTTTTTTATATATTTTTTTTCGCCTGAGTTTCGCTCTTGGCGAGATTATTGCTAATTTCGGGTGTCTCTCTTGTGTGATTGTGGGGATTTTGGGTGTGTTTGTGCGAGAGGACTGCCGAATTTTTTTCGGGGAGGGGGTGGGTGTGGGTTGTTCGAGGGGGTGGGTAACCACGTGATGCGCTCTCAAATGAAAATTTTGGGTGCGGGATATGGGTAAAAGTCCTACAGGTTCCTTTCTACCTCTTACTTTGATCCGGTGTTATGGCTGTCGATATTTTATGGGTTACTTTTGAGATCTGGTTTATGGGGCTCCGTTATTAAAACATATATAAGCCGTTTAAATTTTGCAAATATTGTATTTTTTGCCACGAGAGTCTTGATTTTTGATTGTGTGCGTGAGAAATGCTCTGAAAAAATAAGTGAAATACCAAGGCACAACAAAGTATCGGTGTGTGATGTTTTTTTCGAGCTGGTATTGGATGTTGTGCACGCCCCTATGAGCTGTCGTATTATTGCTGACGACCCTTACGTCAGCAGTAGCACGTGGACTATTATTAAGGCGTTTAATTAACTCGAAACATTTAGGATCAAATTCATAGTGGCAGCCACTGTCGAGTGATATGTAAGCATGGTAAGTTGCGGGCCAGAAGAATTCTTTCTGGAGTGGATTTTGATGGGGAAAATTAAGGGTTATTCGTTTAATTCGTAATTGTTTGTATTAGACAACCCCGAGAAGGTTGGGTGCCATATGATTTGATCTGAAATTAATTTTCTAGAAGAAAATGTTGCCCCCATGGCACACACTCACACACACAGACGCATTCGAGAGCCCTCTCGCACCCACACATCCAGAACTCGTAGTATCCGTATCTGTATCTGTATCTCCGTGTCGGTGAGTTGCCAACGTCGCTGTCGCTCGCTTGTGATATGAGCTTGATGTTACATATTTCATATGGCACACTGACTGGTTCTGGTTCTGTATCTGTGTCTTCACTGTATGCGTAACTAGCTCCCCAGTTCCCCCCTCCTCCCAGTACCTCGTAGCCCCCGAAATATTCCCCATACGCGCGCCTTTGCCACAGGAATTTGTTCTTCTTCTTTTTTGTCGTATTTCTGTTGGGCCTTTTTGTTGCTTTTTTCGGGCTGCCTTTTGATCGTGTGCGTATGAGTGTGAATCTTTACACTGAACGGAAAGTGGTTAAACTTTGCTAGGCAGAGGTGCCGAGTTCAAGTCCAGCTTGTCAATACAGCCAAAAAAAAAATAGTACCAAATTATGTAAGAACGGAATTGAGAAAGCAAGACTTTACCAGGTATGGGTTGGAATTGAAGCAAACAATGTTTTGGGCTTAACAATTTTTAATTCCTCCAAATTTAATGAGATACTTATCAGATATTCTTGAAGTTAATTGGTTCCACAAAAATTCAATGCAACAATACCTCAATACTCATTTAATCTTAAATTGCAATTATTCAACAAAAAACCCATTTCAAATTTAATTGCATTTAATTAGACATAACATGTTTATATACATATTTTCCTTTCTGTTGTCGTTTCCATAGAAAATACTGCATTATAGTCAAAAGAAGCGCCTTGAATCGATTCAAGTTAGCCTTACTAACATGTCTCCACAATCTACAATGCTGAATTCAATAAAAATAAACTCGTTTTACGCTTATTAATAGTAGCATTTAATATTAATTGTTGTTTGCTTTGAGGTTACATGTTCTTATACATGAGCATATACATTAAGATCTGGCATGTTAAGCGATAGAACCAATAAACGTCAATTCAAGATAGTTTAGTAATACTTTATCAAATCCGTACGGTCTTAAAAAGAAACTAAAAGTGAGATATTTGCGTTTAAGAAATAACTGAAATGAAGAACTAATAATTGTATGTATTCAAAAAAACTACTACTCATCTATTTTAAGGTTTAAAAAAACTAGTTTAACATGTAATTCTGATTTCTTTTGTAAGGGAACGTTAGATAGCTTTACGTCTTAAAAAACTTTTTTAGTGGAAACATCAAACCAAGGTAGAAAAGTTTAGGTATTTTTTTTTTTAACTTTGAATATTGAGATTTTATAATAATGATAAAAGACCAACGCAAGAAAACTAAGGCATCAAAAAAATGTGATCCATGAAACAAACTGTTATGAAGTTTCTTATTTATTTCCATTTAAATCGTAAGGAATATCGAGAACAATTTCAAAAAATGAGACCCCCAGCACCGAAATCGTGCGAATAACCGTTATGATTGCCTTTGCCAAATCCGCCATTTTGCTTTCGATCGTTTCGTTAATGAAAATTTCTCGCTGTGCTTAGACGCCGCTCACGCACACCAAAGTATTAAAACAGCTAGGTCTTTGCAGTTGGCAAGAAAGGGACAGAGCGAGTATCTGGGCAAGTGTGTGTAAGTGTGCGAGGTTTGTTTGCTATGTTTTTCAGAACAGAGGAGCAACAACAAAGGCAGACAGAGCGGGCTAAAAAATTTTAGATTCCCCCTCCTCCGAAGGCCCCCGCCCGATTCCCATTCCCCATTCCGATTCCGAGTCCACCGATTGTGTGGCGTTAACCATTACATGCAAACTCACACTTACAGGCGACGTCGACGGCAGCAGAGGCAGAGGCAGCGGCAAGGCGGCATTCATTCATACTTGTTGCTGTGTACCCGTATCTGTGTGCCAAGTTGGGGCCCAGTGTTGGTGTGTCGTTGATTCCGCCACAAACTAAAGTTTCGTGAGGCATTTGTTTCAGTACGTCACCGACAGCGCCAACGAAAAGAAGGAGGAGGCGGTGAGCCGGACTCAGACTCAGACTCAGCACTTGGGAATTGGGAATTGGAAATTTGAAATTGGAGTGCAGGGCGGAATAGGACTGTCGCTGGCATCTCTGGTCACACTGTTTGGAAGGTTTCTTGTAGAGTAACGTGCCGGGATTTCTTGCCCCTTCAAGTTTTCAAAAAGTGTTTTTAAACCTAACCACAAAAAGAGTCCAACAGTGTAGTGTCCCCAAATATTAATTAGCTTAAAGCAACACAAAACCAAAAAAAAAAGCACAAAACAAATTATTTGCAAATTTTTTGCGACGCAGTTGCAAAGAAAACAAAGCAAGCCAGCCAAGAGCAACTTAAACGACGTATTTAACAAACCAAAAAAAGAAAAAAGGAAAAAAACAAAACGAGAGAAACAAAACTAGGGGAACAACAACAACAAACGCGACAACAACAAGAATTAAAAACAAACTCGCTCGCGACTTTTGAGCCTCGCAACTGAATAATTAAAATTAGAAGCGGAAAAGTAAATACAAAAAAAAACACCAAATAAATTTCAAATAAAGAACCCGAAACGCTTATACATACGTATGTATATATGTATTTAGAAAGAACAAAAAATGGCGCACAAAGAAACTGTGAACTTATACAATCAAAAAATTTTTATTTGATTGCATGTACATCTATATATGTACATATATATGAACTTTGTACCAGTGACAACGAGACTACGAACGCTGATGATGATTAAGGCAATATGATGAATGAAATTGTGCCCTAGGCTGATGTACGCACATCAATGAAAGAGCCTAGAAGATTGAAGATACTTTTATGGAGAAATCAAAACAAATACCCCATTAAAAAGGTCTGGGTCCGCTAAGAGTTGATAAGCCCTATATACACACTCTTTTGGCGGCGTGCATTGAACTAATTTGTCGTTGTAGTTGTTGTTGTACGCGACTAGTTTGCCTCGTTTCTTTTGCCTTTTTTTATAATACCCTCTGTGTATTTATTTAAAGCGCAAATGTTTTAGATACGACATATAGGTAGGGAGGTGGGGAGGGGGTTACGAGGGGCTTCGAGGGGGCGGGGACCAGACCAGAGCTAGCCAGTCAGACCGCTGTCGACAAATAAAACAACAAAGTAAACTACAGAAACAACTAAAAGGCAAACTTGCCTATCTGCCTAGTCTTATTGTTGTTGTTATATTTGTTGTTGTTGCTGTTGTTGTTGTATTGTTGTAGTTGCTGTCTTTCAGTGCGTGTGCTCAGCATTTAACTAAACTGGCACACACGCACACCAACACCAATGAACGAAAAAAAAAAAAACACACACCAACACTCAACAACACACACCAACACCATCTCACTTAGCTGTCAGGGCTGGCGGCATAGTGTGCTTATATAATCACCGTCTAATGGCCTTTGTTTGTAAGTATTGAATGCAATTTATTTAAAAAATTATTTTATTTCGTTATTATTACGTGTGGGAAAATGTGTGCGAGTGCTTGTGAGTGCAACACGAACAGCTGTTTGCCATAACACAAAACAGCTGTTCCACTGCAAGTCCTCACAAAAAAAATGAGTAAAATAAAAAAAAGGAAAACAAGAAGAGCGACTGCGACGCCGGCGGCGCAGCCATGTGTCCTTAAACCAAAAAATATCAAGTATACGCAACCGTCACCGCAAATGTGAGAGAGCGAGTGGGGAAGAGAAAATGAGAGAGCTTATTCTCACTCTCTCGCTGTTAAATTTAGCCCTTGCTCTCCCTCTCCGCGGAGCGTTGCCAGACTGGCATTTACTGTTATTTGAATTAATCCATTTACAGGGAAACTTGAATAAAGAAAACCACTTACAAAATTTTTTAAAAAATGTAACATAAATTGTAATACACAATTTTGAATCATTTTATAAAAAAGCTTTTACAAAAAAATAAAATTAACGAAAGAATATCGGTTTTTAAAAAAATTGTATGGTAATAAGGAATAAACGTAAAGAATTTTGCTAAACTAAACTGTTATTCAAATTGTTATCTAATATTCTTCGAATCAATACAGCAACCCAGTTAGCGGAGATCGAGTGCATTTAAATGAATTCACTTAATTCGATAATTGATCATCGTTTTTCATTATTACGACGAGTATTATTAATATTTTTTGTGTGGTTCGGGTAATTTGAAACCCATTAGGGTTGCCAAAGCGCCGCGGCAATTTGGATTCGGTGAGCGGGAAAACTAGTGCGCAAAAAGAGTTTTTCGCCCCCCGAAAACCCCTTCGCAGCCCCTTTGCGTATTGTCCATACCATATAGTACATAATAAATAACCAAGGCGCAATATGCGCAGCTTCAATACAGAGCCGACAGATACAGATACAGATGGGCAGACACGAAATAGTTTTTCGGAAGGGGTTTTTTTTTCGGGGCTTCGGGGCAGGGGTACCCAGTTCTATATGGTTGTTAGTGTTATTGTTGTACTTGGAGGCGCCTTTTTCGAGCCTCAAGTTCGCATCGACCGACTGACAACCGGGTCGCCATGTGTCTGTGTTTATAGTTATTGTTGTGTTGTAGTTTTTTTTTTCTTTTTTGTAGTTTCTATCTTTCTATTATATTTAAATGCGCAATTAAGATTGGCACGGCCCGTGGCAGGGCAACAACAACAACAACAACAGCGGTAACAAGATCAAAGTATTCACAAAATTGAACCAGTTTGAGTGTTACGCATTTATCATTCGTCGTCCGAATCTGATCGAAAAATCGAATAACCCAAATTCGCAAACAAAAGATCTCAGGCTACAGATTAAAAAACACGAGCCAAGAATTAAAATAATTTAGTTTTCTGGGGTCAAATTAAGTTAAGCACTTAACCACATGCTCCATATTCCATATTCGTGATTGATCGATTCGATTTGACACGAATATTTCGTTTAATTTGTGGGAACCAAACTATAATGGCAGAGAAATTAAGACTTTAACTACAAATTGGTAGGGCAGGAATGGTTAGCCAAGCCTCCAATTAGCACGTTACTTTCTTTTCAAAAATGTTACTTTTAGTAAAAAAATGAAATCCACAACTAAACATTAATTAAATATGAAATTTAAATTTGTGTAATTAAAATTTCATTACTTATAGTTTGTTTAGAGTTTTGCTGCCTGAATTACAATAAATTTAAATTTAGGGTTTTACTCATAACACATTCCTGAATTCCAAATAGAGGTTTTAAAATATCAAGTATACGCTTTGGTTAACTATGAGCTTTCTTTAACAATTTGTCTAGTTTTACAAGAATAAAAAAATAGTGTTATTTATTTACCACATTTGTTCAAAAACCTTGAATTAAATATGAAATAAGATGTTTATAAACTTAAAAGCCTAAAAATATGAAGTATACGTTTGGCAAATCATTAAACTTTTAATAACTTAAAGGCAGTAAAATGTTAAAATAATTACTGAAATAAACAAGATTTGCTCTGCAGAACTCTTTGTGAATTTGAACTTGCCAAAAATTTTGTAGACACCCTATATCTCAGATGCTTTATGACATTTTATGGCTTTTAATTGACCAGACGCTGTCGCACATGTCTGACGATAATGATCCGTTTAGTTATTTTCGTATAGACAACAATTTATTTATAAATGCCGCGACGGATCTTTCCTTTTAGCCAGCTATATGGCTATACGGCTATATAACGCGCTCTGCCACAGTGTCTGCCATAATTAGGCGCACAGTTGGCGCAATTAAGGCGCTGGCCAAAGTCTTTTACAATCGAACGTCATCGAGCAGCATAAATAATCGCAATCCAAATACGCGGCCAAACAAATATTAACAAGATCTGAGAGGAAAACGCGGCTATGGCTGGAAAACGTTTGGTTTTCTTTCCATTTTTTTCTTTTTCGGCTCTGACGTAAAATGGCTCGAGCCAATTTCGATTTCATTCAGCTCTCGATGACGTACACATTGGCCTCCCACCACCCACCCACCCACCGCCCCTTTACATTGCCGCAGCAGACAACCTTGTAAAGTTGTTGTGCGTCATTTGGCCGCTCGTATTTGCCAATGATTTTTTTTTTCAGCCGCAATTTCCACGGCACTTTCCCTTCTGGGCAGTTGTTTTGCAATTTTATCGACGCCGCATCTCCATTAATACTATCAACTCGTAAAAGTCCAGGCCCTGCACAAAGTACACAGATATATTCCCAGTTCGTGCGTCATAGTTTTCAGTAAGTTTTGAGGGCTTTGGCGATTTTTTATTGTTCTGGGCATTTCCATATTTATTTACGGACCATATATATTCCTAATCTGTCGGCGGGAAGGTCGTTGATCGCGGCCCTTCAGATGCACTCATCGAGTTTCTCCCGAAAGTGACTAAGAACAACCATTCTCGGCGCTTCTGGCATTATTTGCATATGGATAAGGAGCTGGTCGTTGGCTGGTTCATAGGTCGTCTGTGACTCAATCTGCAAATGTGCAAATCTAATTTCCTATTCCGGGAACTATCGAATCGCCGCTGTTCTCTAATCGTTATAAATACCAAGGGTCCCAAGAGTTCTGGAGAATTCTTCGTGAGTAAGCGTAATTAGTAAGTCTTTTTTGGTGAGTTACACTGGGTTTTGAAATTCTGTTCACTCAGAGCTCACTTGCGAAATACTATTCAACGTGCTCACAATTTGTGATAATTTAGATATGTAGTTCACCAGAACAAACATCCCACAAACAGAAATAAGTTTAAGTATCTTGAGTAGCAGTATCTAAACTTTTTAAAAGCGTAGATATTAAAATGCATAAACAGAGGAGAGATATTTTGCAAGTATATATTTATAAAGCCAATCCGAATTGTAAAAAAATGTATAAAAATTGTAAATTTCATAATCAAAAAACCCTTTCATAGTTTCAAATTGTTAAGTTTTCATATTTCGAGTAACATAGATCCTAACTATCACTCATTCAGGACAATTCAGACAAATAGGAGGTGCTCAAGTGGCTGAGTATTCTACTATATACCATGTGCCATATCAAATCCTATATAATCCGGGCAAGTAGCTGATAATCAAGCGGGCATTCAAGCGACTTATTTAGACACTCGCATTTGGACTTGAATGAGTTAGTTGTGTTTGTTGTTGTTCGGTTTACTTCCGTTACTACTATAATGGGTGTATGTGAGTGTGTGGGTGTGAGTGAGTGTGAGTGCGAGTGTGTGTGGGTGCATGTGTTTATTAGGTTTTGGTCGCTGTCTGCGATTTTCATTCATTAAATGCGAGCGCAGCACACACACTCTCACAAATGCGGCGATTGCCACGGCACGCACACACAAATACGATTTCATCCATTCATAAATTCATGCAGCAGCAACAACAACCGCCCCCTCACCATGCCCCTTGTTCACCGACCCTCCTCCCACGCCTCTGCCACGGTCTCTGCCTCTGCCGCTGCCGCTGCCTACGTCGACGTTTCGTTTCATCGCTCCAACAACAACAACAGCAGCAGCAACTACAAATGCGTTTATGTTGCTGCCGTTGTTGCACTGAAAAAAACACATTATTTTTGACATCTCACTATCAGAAATTAAAGTAAATTGGGTCAGATTTAAAAACATTGAATATAGTTATCAACTTTCAGGTTATTGCTATGTGTAGCTTAATTCAATAAGACTTTTACACCAACGCATTATCATATTGCACTTTAATTTAAATATTGTTGCCTACTTAGCAGCTATTTTTGAAATGATGAATAATAAGGATGATTAATAAATCATTATTTATAAATAATTGTTAGTCATTAAAAAGTCTGTGCTATATTTAAATCTGAGTCATTAACCTACATTTCAGTTCAAAGAAATACTATTACATGAAGAAATTTACTCATAGGTTATGAACTTAACAGAATATTCTAGTTAGTCTGAGTGGTTTTTAATAGATAATACTATTTCTTGCAGTGTTCTTGGGCTATCTGTGACAAAAATCAAACCGTGGTTCCCGTTTCCAGTCTCCATTTCCACAATTTCCTCATTTCTCCACCCCTCCATGCTTGCTTCGATGCATTTTATAGATTCGTTCCAAATTTCAATGAAATTTCATTGAGCACTGACTGATAAGTTCGGAACGGATCCTTATCTCTGTCGTTTGTCGTTGTTTGTTATGGGTCAGCCATTCAATACGATCGTTGATCCGGGGATGGGGGAGCTCTGAAACTCTGAAACTGTCGCAATCGCCCCGAACATAGCAGAGAATCACTTCCCAACTCAATGCGCCTTTGTGTGCTGATTTCGATTATTTACATTATAGGTTCGAGTTCAACATTGTGGTAATAAAATAATAATAAAAGCTCAATTATACCTATTTCCGGTAGGGGATATTACTTGGACTGTAACCCAAAAATTAAATATAATGTGGCACTACTTTGAACTGAAAAGTAAAGGTTGTTCACTGCAGAAGAAATTCAGTTACAAAAGTTTAAGTAACTGATTAAATTGATTTGGATTTTATATCTTATTGATAAAGTAACAACAATTAATATATTTTTGTGATATAGATTTTACTTTTAATTACTTTGATAGTTATATATTAAGTCGTATCTAGTTTGTTACTTCCCCATTCACTACTATTCACTACTAGTTTGCCCACAACTGTGATTATATACCTCATACAGTTATGAATGAACGAGGTCCACACACTCTCGCTCTCACACTATCTCACCCACACACGAACACACATGCACCCACCCACACATGCAACCTCGTATTTGGTTCGTCAGTTTGGTTTTGGTCACATTATTTCCGGCCTGGCGGCTTTTGGCTTGGGTTTTATTTATAGCTCCGGCGTTCGGAACTTCTTGTTCATCAGCAGCCGAGTCTTCTGCCTACTAAGGCCCTTCAGCTGCTGCTTCTTCCCTTACCCCTCCCCATTTTGCACGGAAAAAAATGTTTTTAAATTTTTCATTACATTTCATTGAGAAAACAATATCCAAATGATTTCTTCGTTTCATTATTTTTGATTCAAGCTTCTGTTTCTAAAATACATTTTTTTGTTTTTATCAACTTGTAATGCAACCTAACACAACATAAATTTTGTTCTTTAAAGACGTATTAATTTATGTGCGACGTCTTTTACATTTCCAATTGGTTACAAAACTATAGGTAAAACCGTAACATTTATCGCTGTTTTATATGATACCAGTTTTTCTTTCTGTGTGCTTGTTTGTTGGCCACTCCAAAAATGCAGTTGGCAGCACTTCCTCATTTGTACGCACCGGAAGTGAGCGGAAATGCTCGCACACTCGCATTAGTCACTTTTGTTTTCACTTCTTCAGGCCCCCAGCCAACCCCCCATCCCCCTATCCCCCCGCCATATATCCTCTATATATATCCCCACTTTGGCTTCCGTTGATAAAACCCATGCCTCCTGTCCCGCTTCCACTTGCGGCTATTTATGGCGAAAGTGTTTGGTGGAGTTTGTTTTTGTTGGGCCCCCGAGTTCAATAGTGCTTTGAACTTTAGCTACTGCCCCCCTGCCCCGTCTCTTTCGCACTCCCTATTGCCGTCTCTGTCGTTTTGTGTGTGTCTGACTTTTTCTGGCTGGGAATGCATCGAAAATAGAGCGGCACATTGTCTGGCTGCTTTGGCTTTGGCTGCGAAAAAGGGCGAATGAATGGGTCTCAGAAAGTGGCGATTGTGGGAGGGGCACTACTTCCGTTGCGAGGCTTACGTAAAAAGACGTTAAATTTATGAATATGAATGAGCCTCCTCCATTCGCAGTCGCAGTCGCAGTCCCCCCATCCCTGATCCCCCCACGCTGCATTTTACATGGCGGAGGCACCGAAACTGGGCCAAATGTCATTAATACATCAGATCCGGACATGCAAGCGGGAAGCAAATCATGCGTTGACAGCGGGGGCCACGCGAATAGGGGCAGGAGGGGCTAGGGTATTTTGTAGTAGTGCCCCAGCGACGCCCACATTTGGAGCAGATTCCAAACTCCAACGACGACGATGACGACGACGGCGACGGCGACTCCTACTTGGCCACATCCACATCCACATCCGATTGCAGCCAGTTTGTTAGCCGAGGAATGTGCTATTATTATGCCAACCAAGAGAAGAGAGAGCTCTTGGTCGCCCCACGTTTTTCTGCATCCGCCTTCTGTGGAATGCCATAGAACAGGGTATGTGCTGTTCGTGCTAAACAGAAAAGAGGGTGTGATACTTTCTAGCTAGTTCCACTCTTGGGTTTCCCAGTTCACATGGATTTTATGGCTTTTCATAACTATTCTTTATTTGGCTAAATATCGCATCTCCCAGGTTTCCAGAAAGATTTTTCCTTAGCACCTTGTCATAGTCTTGTCTTGTCTGAAAGGTCAACAATAATAATCCCAAATATATTTTTAAGAAAAGAAAACTAGTTTTAAATTAAGTCTTACCTTATTTAAAAAACAAATTAAAACATAGATTTATCAGCATTCTTTTCCAGTACAACTAGCTTATACTAACTATAAAACCATTCATTTTTCGCTTCTAAAGCTATTAGCGGTTGGTCATAGACACAGACATAGATACAGATACAGATACTACGGAAACTACGGATACAAAGGCTGGCGGTGGCCAGTGCATCCAACTGGAATTTGGGTCGGGGTGGCGTGGCAAGATGCAAGACGCTCGACTGCGCTTTCTTCCACTTCCATTTCCATATCCATATCCACTCCTGCTCCGGTTCCTGCCCCTCATCCTCCTGCGCATCATTATCATCGGGTTCATTCAGGAGGGAAATGGGGACTGGTGGACGGGTGGAATGGTGGGTGGGGCGGCGTCCGTCGGTCGGTTCGTTAGCGGGCCAATTGTTGTCACTACTGCCGCTATTTTTTTCTTCTTTCAATTGTGCGACTTTATGGCGCTGCCCAACACTTGTATGCTAATGCAACATGCCGACAGCCTTCGTTTTCTGGGCAAAGTGGAGCAAAATCAATTGGCAATGGACAAATTTAAAAGCATTGTTTAAATTTTTGATCCTATGTTAATTTTATTAATGACTCAATTATCTCTTTTTATTTCTTTATAATAAATACAATTTTATTTATATTGTTTCCAACTGTTTATCCACTTCAAGTCTTGCCTTTTCTGGCTTCTTAATTATCCTCCATAAATCTGTTATATAAATCCTGTCTTTTCTTTACAAAAACACTTATATGTTGAAGTCCAAGAGCCACACTTGCAGCCCAGCTTTTCCCAATATTCATGCCCCACGGTAGCTCCTCATTGCAATTGCAGTGGCAGTTGCAGTTGCAGTTGATGGCTCTCGAGTGTGCGTGTGCCCATTTGCAGCGGCGTCAGCGTCAGCGGCTTATCTCCAACCTGGCGGCCACTGCACCACCGACTGCACCACCAACGGCACCACCGTGCAAATGCAACTGCAACTGACGAGCCACTGTTAATTTTGCCAAGTTTTTTCGCTGCCCAGTTTTTGCTGCTGTGCAAGTCTCTCATGCATAAAATTGTACACGACATAATTTTTCATGAAATGGCTGGGATCCTCCCGGTGCGGCGTCGACGACGTCTTTTTTCCGACGTCTAACCAACCCGAGTGGTAGCAGTACTATATAGCCCCCGGCCATATCTTTCCCTCCATCCAAGTCCGCATTACCATCCATCCCGGTGCCGTTGTTTTGGGCAGGTTCGGTGCACTTTTTGCCGGCTGACCGCGCTCACTCGAGTAGAAATTATGTGCAATTTGTCTAGCCAGGGGTCTGGTCTCTAGTCTGTGGTCTACAGCTCGATTCCGATTCCATTCCATTCCGCCTCCCACAGGTGCACTCGGAGAAAATGTGGTATTGAATTGGGAAGTTTTCAAAAGATATAAAATATCTTGGTGCAAAGGAAAAAGCCGCAGAAATGGTTATCCTCTTTTTTGTCAACTGAAAAATGACTTGGGAATTACAGTTCAGTGAAATGGATAATGAGTTACCATGAGTAAACTATAAAAGTAAACTAAGTGAACACACTAGCAAAGAATGAATGATTGAGCATTCAAATTCTTTTTTACTAAAATAAATAAAAAGTATATTCCTACCAGATATTGTGAATTCAAACAGTAGCTTTGCAGATTATATATATGATTCAGAGCCGGGGGTTTTTCGAAGTGCACCGCTGCTTCTTAATGATCGGTGGGCTGTATGCGCATCACGTGCTCCCTATTAGATCGCGGGTATTATCATTAGGTTCGGTTCGGGCCGACTTTCGACTCGACCAAACCAAAAGTAATTACACCGAAAGGGGGAATTCTTTGCCATCGAATCGGATCGGATCTACCGTACGATCGTTGACCATGCAACACACACCGGGTAAAAATACAAACAGTAATGCCAATGCCTCCACGTCATAGGTGGCTTCAAGTGGTATGCCATACCCATGCCCCCCTTAACCCCCCAACTCCCTCCCCTCTGCGCGGCCCTGCTGATAAGGTGTATTAATTATTTTTATGGTCTTGACGTTGCTCTGTTGATGTTGTAAATAGTACAAACAGTTGAAAGTCCAAAAGGCTTTTGATTGGGAAATCTCCGTTGCCCCGTTGTTGATTTTATTTTTGTTTTTGCTGTTGGATTTTTCTTTTTCCAGAAGAAAGAAACAGAAATTACAATTTCCGTTTGGGGCGCTCTCTTTCTTGGCCGGTTAAGTGTCAGCCATGTGACTCAAACTTAAACGTTTTACGTACCCTTGGTATGTTTGTCGCCATGGCATCACATGTCATTTATAGTTTGGCCTTTAAATGGGCCTATCGTGGGCCTTTTGATAAGCCGTAGATTGAGCGCGTGCTTTGTGTCTGGGCCTTTTTTCAAAAGGTTGACTCCCCACTCCCGCGGACACAGGTGTGTGTACACTTTCGAAATTCCAGAAATTCTTGCGTCAAGTAGCCGCCCCGAAAACCTTATCACTCAGACCATCGTCCAGCCACTGAGTTACTGGTTACTGGTTACTGGGTACTGGTTACTGGAGTGGGCGCTACGAAACGGGGGCCACGAAAGCTCGTCAGTGGATTGCATTGATACGGGACAGTTGGGTGGATTGATTGGATTGATAGCGGCCGATTACAAATACGCCTGGCGCCCGCAGGTTCAATTCAAGGAATTGCTAATCAAACGAAAGGTGGAAAGGAATCTGAATCATTTGCTGTATTTATAGAAGAAAACGTCATCGGTGGCATTTCGATAGGAAGTAAGCGGGACGAAATACATTTTGTTAGGTCATGTATTTTTCAAAAGAAATGTAGTATTATGTAGGCTAAAAAAATGTATTTGTTATCTTTTTAGTTTTAAACCGTGTTTTATTCCCAACCATAGTTACGTATTTTTAATTAATATTTTTTCGAAGTGATTTAACTTATTTTATCCTAGAAATACCTTCGTTTTTCTGTCTGAACTAGACCGCTGAAAATCCCTCGATCACTTGGAGCTAATTCAGTTCCGTTTTCGTGATATTTCCGAGGCAACTGGGGATTGTCCCAATGGGCATTTGATATGCATGTCGGCCGACCGACACTCCCCCGCTTTATAGACCTAATATAATATCCCCCCTGCGATCTGCAGCCATAAATAACAAGTAAAGCCTAAGGAATTTCCTATAAATAAGTTCATGACGAATATAACAAAAATTCCCTAAACAACCTTAGCCCCGCGCCCTTCTTTATAAGTGTGTGTGTGTGTGTGCTTGTGTGTTGTAAATGACCTCGTTCACATAAAGTTCAGAAATTCCATTTACAAACTTGTAATTGAAAAAATCCACACACTCGAGCGAGATAGCTAGATTGTCTAGAGACAAAGTCAAACACGTTGGAATTTTTGTTTTTTACCGTTCAATGACGAATTTTCCAGTGTGTGTGTTGTTTACGAAAAACGAAAAAAAAGAACGCCACCAGCTACAAACACACGAAAAAAAATTCCAAAAAAGACACTTACGAAAGCCACACAACATTTTTTATTGTTCCGTAGATTACAACATATAGGAAAAGGCAAGAAGAAGAGGAGGCTGAAGAATTTCGGGGGCGAGAGCGAGAGGGCGCTATACATTGATGTGGTGACAAAATGCAAAAGTAGCACAGATACATATGTACAGATACAGATACTTTTCTCGCCGGCTTGGAAGGCTGAAGACGGTCTGCAAGGGGGTGGGGCAAGGGGGCAGGGCGGTCTGGAAGGGGCAGTGTCAGTTTGTTTGTGGAATGCCGTTTTGTAAGTTTCTTATGCATGCGACTTCAAACATAGTTCGGTATCGAAACTTTCTAGCACACAGATACAGCGCAGATCCAGCAGATACACACACACACACGAAAACGACTTTCGAAAGGTACAACTTTTTTCGAAGTCGCTGCCTCTGCCGCAGTCGACGCCCGTGCCTCTGCCGCCGCCGCTGCTTCGGCCTCTGCCGGCTGCGAATTCCAACGCCAAGACGAAAGATCGGCGCAAAAGAAAAGAAAATATTCATTCAGTAAATTTTTGTAGCTGCAGCCGCATGGTCGTGCAGCTCTCGTCTGCTCTTCGCGCAATAAAAAAAACCGAACGAAAATTGCCAAAGTGTGAACAGTCAATATTTAACTGGCATATTTAAACACATAAAAAACCCTTAACTTAACCAACTAAAAAAAACCCTGGGAAGACGGTTCCAATGAAGAGCAGTTTCCAAGGAGTTCCAAGAGCAAACACAACCGCATTCCAAAAGTTCAAATAACGCTGGAAGGAGGGGAAAGTGGAAAAACTAAACTCGAACTCGAACTCAGTGTGCCAGTGTATTTGTGTGTGGAATGCAGAAAGAAGAAGAAGCAGCAGCAGCAAATATGTCTTCAAAACTGGTTTTTTTTGTTTTTAGACTGTTTGACGTCGGCCGATCGCGGTTCCATTGACATCCCAAAACCCGAAAAAAAAAAAACTTACCTTCGATGGGAACACTCGTAAGTCGGAATTCACACACACTCACACACCCAACCTCGTTTATTGGCTGAAATTGGATGCTGTGTATGTGTATATGTGTGTTATTTAGAAATTCAAATTGAAATTTTTCGAGCGTGAGTCATGCGATTTGAGCGTGGGTTTTCGAGACCAGTTTCTTCTCAACGATCCTAACCTTCGCTCTGGCTCGGAGCAGTAGTGAGAACGGGAATATGGGAACAGAAACGGGAACAGTCATAAAAGTTGCATCACTCAGCACAAAAAGAAGGCGAAGAGAAGGAGAGACGGAGACACAAACAACAAGTCAACCGCGGCTGCCAGACAGGCGAGACGGCAATAGTCGCGGAAAGAGAAGTAAGAGGGGCAGAAGAACCGTTTTGCGGAGCGAAAGGAGCGACACAAGAACACACCAACAAAGGGAAAAGGGAGCAGCAATCACTTCGAAAAAAAAGGGGAAGAAATTAAATATAATTTTTGTATAGAGCAAATATCATAAATCATATCCTTAAAAAAGGATTCGTTAGTTGATTTAGAAACAAATTTCAGTAAGACGTAAAATGAAATATTTACAAGAAGTTTAAGTTAGGACACGATAATAATATCCTTTGAAAACGGTTGTAATACTTTATATATTATCAATAAGCTGAAGTACAAGCATACTGAGTCACAAAAAATTGTATTTAAAAGAGCTTTTAAAATTATCAACAATATTATTTTTAAAAAATAATTAAAAGAGAAACTATTCATAAAAATAAGCTAAAGAAAATATCAAAATTAGTACGCTTGCTTCCAAACTTGAAAGATCTGAAGTTGTATTAAATGAAGAGAAACTTAAAAGCTCCTCAATACAATTAAACTAAAATAGTTCCAATCTTTAGTTAATGAAACATATATCCTGTTAACATAATACCATAAATTTAATTTACGTGATCTTTTAAGAAAACTAATATTTTTTAACAGTGTGCTTGGTTTGTTCTTACTGCTCTTAGTGATACCGTTTATTTTGCAGTTCATCGTATGCACCCCCTTCGTGGAAACCGTAGTCAGCAGAAAAACTGAACCCTTTAACTGGAATATCGATAGGCTATCGATGGGAAAATTAATCTCTACCGCCTCATTTTCACTAACCCACCAATCTTACTATCGAAAAACAAAAGAGTTGCAGGGCAACAAACTCAGCGTTTTTATACCACATCATAAATGTCAATTAAAAATGATATTTGTATTGTCAAGTTCCGCCCGTCGGATTGCCATAAAATGTGCTATAAAAAACTAACGGTTAATGCTACGGTCTGCTGAGTTCGTGTGTGGCTGCAAAGAGTGAAAAAAAGAAGAAAAAATAAACAGGAAAAAAAACAAAAACTATTCCCCGCTCAATAGAAAGTTTGTGTTAATAAAAAAAATACCTAAAAACTTAAACACACAAAATATGTATGTCGAAATAAGGCAGCAACAAACAAAAAAAAGAGTGAATGAAAAAATGTTGACCTAATTTTGTTGTTGTTTCTGCTTTTGGTCTTGTTTATTTCAGCGACGGCGACTGCGCGGCATACTTTCCCACACAGCTTCCATGCTCACTCCCATTCCCGTTCCCCATTCCAGATTCCAGGCCATTCCCAGCAGCGTGTGATCATCGAGGGAGCAACGCCACCGTTCCCTTCGCACGCTTCCATCTCTTTCTCGCTGGAACGACGTCTAAATTAATGATTGTTAAATGGAGATTGTGTTTTTGTTGTTGTTAAGCATTCCACACACCAATACATGAACAGAAATACGGGCGCGCCTGCGCAGAAACTATTTATTAAGGTATGTAATCCCCAGTTTGATAACTCTAAAGCATTTTACAGTTCCCCCAAAAAGAGAAGAAACTCAGCGCCACTAATTGTGTGCTATTTTTGTTAAACAAAAAAAGACTAAAACCTTAAGATCATTTTTTCACTCGCGGCGCGTGTGAAAATATTTAGGCTACCCAAGGTATTTTTATTCTCGCTTCTTGTAGATCTCTGAGTTTTTTTCCTCGCTTTTATCTTGTCTCTCGTTTAAAGTGTTAACTGGCAGCATATAATTTCGGTCGACTTGACATACATTGTAATTATAGTTATTAAATTTGAGCCAGGCACGTGCGTGAAAAACGCACAGATGTTAATGTGTATAAAGACCATGGTCAAAAGAGGAAAAACGGAAAACGAACGAAAAACGTTTGTAACTTCAATGATTTGACTACGAAACCGGTTTTCGATTTGGTTTGACTGTTTTTCATACAAGTGAGATCATTTTGAAAGCTGATTTTGTCAATGAATACCACATTCCACATTCCAATGGTTGATTTTTGTTGTTTGGTTTGCCTACACAGCGATATAGCGATATCGTGTAACAAAGCTTTGAACTAATGCCGACCGATCCGAGTTTGTTCGAGAGATGGAGATGGGAGCTGGGAGCTGGGAAGATGAAGGTGAGTACACTGCTCTGGGTCGAAAGACATCACTGGAAAAAATCCTTTACTACTTTACTCAAATTAATATCTGGTCGAAAAACACAGATCATTTTTGAGATATATAGAATAATATATTTGTATTTAAATAAAATTAACAATTGTTATAGTAGAAGTAGAAGTGTTACAATTAATTACCATAAGGATAATGCCACTTAATGTTTTGAATTTCAACTCTCAGTTTCAGGGATAGAATCAAACACTCACGATGTAACTAAACACTGATAGCAAAGATCAAAAATCAAAATCTTCGTAGTACAGTATGTGCATCATATGTTAATTACCAAAGATATTTTAATCATAAAGTACCAATAATTACTAATCAATGATGTCAATTATAACAAACACAATAAGCTAACAAAACAATTAATTTTGGATTAATTTATAGTGATTATTAAGACATACAAAGTTTTTATCTTTATAGGGTGATGTAACAACTATTTATTTTAGCAGAACTGTAACAAACACAAATGAATAGAGAGTAAATTCTGTATTTGTAATGTAAATATATTAACATGAACATTTAATAAACTATCGCTCAAGACTGAAAATAATTTAATTTAATGGGCTTATGAAAGGTTTGCTTACTTTTAAATCTTATTGAAAGTTAGAAAATAATAATTTTATAGGGTGATGTGCTTTATGTTGACGTTATTTTAAGAGGTAATTTAGCAAAAATAATAATAACTTTTTTATCAATTCCTTTTTCTTAACTTCAAAGAGAATTCTTTAGCCTATGCCTGCCTTTTTCTCAGTGTAGGAGCTGCGCCTGCGCCGTTGCTGTATTGTCTCTATTTCTCTTTTTCGACTGTCATCCCAAGGTGAGTTGGAAGTTGGACGCGGATTCGGGGAGTTGGGGAGTCGAGAAGGGCTGGAGTTGGGGCGCCCGCTTGGGTAAACAGCATTCCGAGCATGCCAGCGGCGACCGAATCTAAACAACTTGATGTTGGTATTTTTATGCTTTGTTTGCCCATTACAAAAGCCCTTTTCAGTCGTAAACGAAACGCTGGCTGATAACGCTACGGCGGCGATAAGCGATATAGTCGGGGAGCGATCTACGTGGACAATGAACTCCCCGTCGAAGACCCAAAAACTCCAACCTCGAATCACTTTTTTCATTCATGAAACGATCGCAAAGTGGAGCACGGTGGAAAGAGGTGGAAAGCTATGCGGCCGAAAAAGTCGTGATAAACATATTTACCAATTGATTATTTTCCAGCACAAACACGCGTTGGCTTACATAAGTAACAGCATATATAGCATATGGTATATGGTGTATGGTATGTGGTATGTGGTATATAGCATAGCACATGCCACCGCCAAGGTGCTAATCAGCATGCATACATAAATACATTTCCACATAGGTGCACGTATGTGTGGTATTGGTGTATATGCGATGGATTTGGATTTGGAATCGGAATCGGAGTGGCAATGGGCATACGGATTTGGGGTGACTTTCTAAATGCCCCGTGGCAGCTGCAGCTGTTCCTGCCCCACTTCCCAATCCCCACTCCCCAGTTCCCAGTTCCGATTCTACAGAATTCTATGTGGGCACTGCAAACTGGAGCGACGACACCCCGCATGGAGAACATTTGTAATCCGCCCTGGAATGCATTGTGTAACTAAATTTAAACGTTTTATTAGCCCAAGATGTGCCACTTTGCATGGTAATTTAGTGGGCAGTTATTTTGTTATACCTCATTAGGATGGAAGATCAAAGCTGAAAATTATACGAAAACAAGATTGAACTATTTTGTTGCCTTGTTTATGTCTACAAAAATATTGGAATCTTTTCAAAGCCATTTACAAGTCTATAAATGTTATTATAAGACTTTTAAAAACATTCCAAATTTATTTTTATTTGGGCCTAGACGGAATAACATTTGGGTTTGCATAAATTATATAATTTTAACGATTTTTAAAAGCAATAAAGAAATAAAATCAAATATTTTGTGTTTTGAAAAAATAAAATCAATTAAACGAAATGAAATCAAACTGGGGATCGGAGGAAAAGATTCGCATTTAAGTGAAAGATAAATAATCCAAGACCAGAAGTATTTATTATTGCTCATATATCAAAATGTCTGTTAGCATTCTTAAGACCTCCAATAAATCCAATGTATGCGGCTCAGCTCGACTTGAAGGAATGTTGATTTCGCTGCAATAAAATACCTATAAATAGAATAGATCCAAGTGTTGTAAATGGCCAAGATACAGAAATAGTTGGCCAGGAGAAACTTCTACGGAGCTTAGCTCATCGCATTCCGATTCCTTGGCTTCAACTGTGCCGATATTGTTTAAAATGCGGCACGTATCCGAAGGAGAGTGGCCAAAAGAAAGAGAAACAGCCGAAAGCACACTCACAGATATGTACACTCGAAAAAAAAAACAATTGTGACAATAAGATAATGTCATAGACCTTTGTCTACATTTTTAAGAAGGCTTTTTTATGAAGAAAGTTCCAGAATTGCTTCTGCAAAGGAAAGTAAACATTTATAGCTTGCACATAAGTAAGTTCAAAGAAAGATTAAGTTTTTATGATTAAAAAATAAATAATGAATGAAGTGTGTTGATCAAATAGGGATTATTCTGGATAGAGTAAATTATTTAAGCTACGATTTCTAAAAGTATGTAATTTGATAGGTTCAAATACGTAGTTCACAGGACTTTATGAGAGTTTTAAGTTCTATCTTAGTTTTTAATGTGGTTTAACTACAGGGCATTTTCAAAATATGTACCCTTTTATGTGGTAATTTTTTGCAGTGCACTGAAACAGATACAGACAGCTTGCAGACGCTAGACGGCGGTAAATGTGTCTCCGTTTCTTGAAATGAAAACATTTCACAATCCCGGATACGCATCGGAATGTGGCTGGTGGCACTAACCGGGAAAGTCGGCGGGCGAAAGGGGGCCGGGGTCTTGGCCATAAAGCTGCGCTGCAGCCACAGATACAGATACAGATACAGATACATCTGTGGGCCAAGAGAAAAGAGCCGCAATTGCCGCAATAGAGAAACACGAAAAAAAAAAACACCGGAGGCTCTGTTAATGCACTTTCCATTGTACTCTTGGCCAGTTGATGTGGGTTGGGCCTGGATTTGGGTTCGGTTTTGGGTTGGCCTTCACTTGGCCACGTTTTCGTGTGATTCGTTTTCCTCCTCGAAATTCCCACGGAGATTATATCACCAACACCGCGAAGGAAACGCGCTCAGCATGATCCTGATTTCGAACTGCTCCGGAAACTTGGAGGAAATTGTCTTGGGAAAGTTTGCTTTTCCAAATTGCGTAGTTTATTAACACATTTATGGATAAGTTTAATCTGACTGCTTTTATTTATACACGAAATTTAATCTTACAATTTTGATTGCCCTGCAATCAAATTTTGAGAAACAATTCCTATGATAATTAGAAACGATAATTAGAAACCCAACTGAGTAGAGCAATTAAAAAGGGTGCCAAAGGAAAACAGCGACATAAAGAAACCTTGTCAATGATCGAGTTTGTATTGTTTTGCTTTGAAAGAACTTGAAAGAACCCCTGTGAAAATCCTGTAAGTTACAAGGAGAACAAAGGCGCCGGGGCATAAATTACGTAGGAACAGGACTACTTGAAGTTTGTTTTCGCATCGTGTTCGATCGCGTCTTCCTGCCACAAGATATGCAGATGTATCTCCTTAGGAGATACTCATCCTCATCCTCATCCTGGCAGCCACCACCGAAATCCTCCTCCTGCTCAATGTTTTTCCCATTTTCGCAACAATAAACATGCCCCGAGGGCAATGCCAGCCAACAGACAACTAATTAAATTTTCTATGGTATGAATGCGCTTTTGTCGCATTAACCCCGTTCCCAAAACCGAAAACCCGAACCGATCCTCGGCGCAAAGAAGTCTTATTAAGTTGCCATTACTTTCGGGGTTCAGGTAGGAAGTAGGGCGGCCTATTCCTATTCCCTATTCCCTATTCATATTCATAAGCCCATTGCCACCGCCATCAATAGCTCGTAAAAAGTGTGTGAAAGCGGAGGGGTGCCCAAGATCCAGATCCAGATCCCCGCACCCCTCACCCCGATCCCTGTACCCCTCACCCCCATCCCCGCTTCCTATTCCAAGTCCAATTCCGTTCAGGGTGGTTGCCCCCTATATCTTGTACTATATCTTCCTCGCAAGAAGCAGCACACGTGTTCGTCATTTGTTGCCTGTTGCTAGGCCCAAATACCCTAAATACCCACCCCACTGCCCAAAGTAACCTCCCCCCCTCTGCAACCCCCTCCCCATCCGTAACCCCTCTAAGCCTTTGTGGTAGTTTTGCCAAAAAAAAACAACAACGAAATGAGATCACTGACAACTGGAAAGTCGAGAACTTGCGTAAAACTTTGGCCAAACCGAGTTGTTGGTTGTGTAGTGGTTCGGTTCTGCTGTTGTTGCGAAGTTGTTGTTGCCGTAGTTGTTGTTGCCGTAGTTGTTGTTGTTGTAGTTGTTGTTGTTATAGTTGTTGTTATAGTTGTTGTTGTAGCCGTGGCTTCCCAGTGTCTCCTGTTGGTGAGAAACTTCTGCCGAACCGCCGCACATGCGCGTGTACTTGTACTCCACTTACTCAAGCCAAAACGACCGAGAATCGTACTCAAATTCAAGCCAAGAGACTCATCTGCTCACTGGAAAAAAATATGAGTTTAAAATTATAATTATAATAAATATTGTAATATATATTTAGAAATAGTTTCAAGAAGCAATCAGTGGTGTAGTGACCAAGAATCTCGAGTTTTCAGAGAGTTTACTTATAACTTTTTATAATTCTATATTTTGTAGGAGGCGTTTGTCCATTAAACCCATTAATGCATTACTGATTTTTATACAGATTACTTTTTAATAATCCCTAATGATCAATGAACTCATTTATTCCCAGTTAGCTGGGAAACAGTAGTATAATATTTTTTTAGTGCTTTGTCGCCGAGTCAAAGCGTTTTGAAAGTACGTCCAGATAGCCAAGCATTCAAGTGTGATAAATTTATGTATGTAGTCTCAACTTCGGATCGCGTATAGAGAAGTTTTAGATAATTGGCTAATTATATGTTCATGTGCGTTATGAATTTCATTTTCCATATCTTCAATTTAGGAATTGAAAAACTTTCAGCCGCCTTTTCCATCCATGCGGGTTCTGCCGGGCGAAAATATAAATTGCTTAATTTGTGATAAACATTTATGGTGGCCCAGTCCAAGTCAAAGTGATCAGGGCCATGTGAAAAGTGCAGCACTTTCACTATTTCCCCATGTCCCCCCGCCCCGAAATGAATTTGAAGTGCTCGACTCCGGGTTTCTGTTCTGAGGGCTCTTCTCACAGAACCCAGAACACAGATGATTATCAGTCCAAAAAAACAATAATGCGGAAAATTGGTTTTATTAAGATGGATAACCGAAATTTACATTTAATCTAACAACGAAATGCGTGTACATTTTGGTAAGTGAACTTTGAGAAAATTAAAATAAACTCAGACTCAAATACATTTCTTAAAGTGATTATTTAATTGATTCTTAGGATACAAACTGTTACTATATTTGAAAAAATTAAACAATACATTTTTTCATGAATTGAAAACATAAAAATAGAAAAGTAGGGAGTTTTGACCTAGTTTCCTTGGCTTATTTAACAACAAGACAGTTTCTAACTAAAATTAGTGAGATTTTTGAACAATGTAAATGTTGCGTACATTTAATCTAACAACGAAATGCTTATACATTTTGGTAAGTGAACTTTGAGAAAATGAAAATAAACTCAGATTCAAATATATTTCTAAAACTGATTATTTAACTGGAACTTTTAAGGAATATATTTTTTCATGCATTGATAACATTTAAATGAAAAAGTAAGTTAAACTTAGTTTAGCGCGTTATGACCTAGTTTCCGTGGCTTATTTAACAACAAGACAATTTCTAACTCAAATTAGTGAGATTTTTGAACAATGTAAATGTTAGTTCTAATCTCCTGATTCTTTTGAGACTTGTTTCGAATCTTCTGGGTTCGCAATCTTCAGGTCGCCTGCCGGATTTCGAGTCGTTCGCAATAGTGCGAGTACAGCTTACTGGCCAGACCCCCCGAAAACCTTAACCCCACAGCTCCACCACTCTCGCGCCGAATTGATAATGGCGATGGCGATTCCGATTCCGATCCCGATGCCGATGCCATAATGTTCGCCCCGTAAAGTGTGTGCCAGAGCGCTTTTATATAGACCAGACCGCACTATATAATATACATACTTCGAGACTTCGTCTTTCTCTTTCGGTTTCTGTTTCTGTTCTGTTTCTGTTTCTGTGACTGTGCAAATTATTGTCGCTCATATAAAAAATATTGCAGGCCATCCAGAGGCGAGCGATGACGGAAGTTCAACTAACTCATTTCCGGTTATGTGTCGGCCGGATCCTCAATTGTCAGTATGTGTGTGTGCTCGAGAATCTGAAAATACACAACGGCCAGTAAGCGGAATGCATGGTCTTGTATCTTATGGTCTTATGGTGTTATGGTGTGCATGGCATATATACACGTCTGCCTTATCGAGAGGGCTTCTCTGCGATCCGTTCCTTGGTGATAATAAAGATTGTATCGTCCAAAAGTAACATAGAAAATCAAGTTTCAGTTGCTATTTGTTTGAATAACGAGAGTCTTTGCTGCCAAAAAAACATTAAAATTAGGTGATAAATTAAACATATTTAGATCTTGTTGATTGCGTACTTTTTACTCTATATCCAGATTAAGCAATGCTAATAGGTGAATTACTTATATTCCAACAAAATAAATTCTCGCGTCCGTAGTCATTTACTTCGAATAAATAATATGTTTAAATCAATTTAAAAAACATTTCCGTTAGAAAACTCATGTAAAATTAAATAATTATCTACATGACGTAGACAACCAGTTGGCAGTGATACCGGATCGCGGGAAATAGGTTAAGCAACTGCTAGTCAAAAGAAAGCCTTAGAAAGTTACTTACTGAATTTAGTGTGATTTCGCATGTCTACTATTATTATAAAGTCACCGCCAAGTTAGCAAAGTTTGACTAATTTTCCTAACTAAATTCAATGCCTTAAAGGACCTTACCAAAATGTATCCGACACTTAAATCGTAATTGCCGCCAAACAACATTTTTTCACAAATTAGCTTTGCAAAAGAATCAGCTCTGAAATTTTGAGACTATTACTTGACCTATAGAATCCTATTTCAAAGAAATGCGATTTCCAATGCTTGATTTTAAATGTCGATTGTAAGCCAGGGAACTTATCGGAATACAGCTTGCCAGCTGAGGGTAAAGTCGGCGGATGTGGCAACGCCGTGGCTTTGTTTACCTATTGATAATATTGTTTTTTCGCAGAGAGAAGCGAAGAGTTGCGTAAATATAAATGGGAATGGAATCGATGGCCAGAGGTCAGCGGCGATAAGGCTGCACATCGGGACAAAGTCGGCCTGCAGCTAGCACTCGAAAGCGGGTGACATTGGAGGACCCCAGCCCAGGCCACAATCCACATCCAAAACTGATAAGAAGTGGGAGCGTGGCGAACGCGGAGAACGGAGAACGCAAAACGGAGAACAAGTTAAATAGGCGCCGTGGAGAGAGAAACGCTCAGTTGGCAGGCAAACGCGGAGCAAAACAGACGTACGAAAACACAGATGAATGAAAACGAGTGCGAGAAACGGGTTAGCAAACGTTAGCACTCATCGGTCAGCGATCTTTGGCATCATCTTCATCTGCAATAGAACCGGAGGTCGGAGACTGGAGATCGGACATCGGACATCGGGCGACATCGGCATCTGAAGAGTTTCAAGGGCAACCCTCGCTTTTTTTCCGACCTGAATCTGAATCACTAGACGGGGCGTCTTCACCACAATCATAATCACCTGTAAAACAGGTGAGTGAGTTGCTTTTGCACGGCAGACGGCTGTTTCGCACGCCTGTAGAAGTGTAGAACGTTTTTTGGTGACGTCAATGAGAACTCCACGCTCGTGTGGCCTAATTTTGACCATTTCTCCCTTTCTCCGCAGCAGGATGGCCCCACCCACCGTTTTGGTCACCGGAGGAGCCGGCTACATTGGCTCCCACACGGTTCTGGAGATGCTCAATGCGGGCTACAACGTCATCTGCGTGGACAACCTGTGTAACGCGTACAGCAGCGGCGCCAAACTGCCGGAGGCCTTGAGCCGCGTCCAGGAAATCACCGGGAAGAAGGTCAACTTCTACAGAGTGGACATCACGGACAGGGAGCAAGTGCGGTCCGTCTTCCAGGAGGTGAGCTTGTGATGGGCACGTCAGCAGTTCGCAGTTCTTGTTCTCCACGCTCTATTGTATGCTTGCGCCAGTGCCAACTGGATACCATTCAATCAGCCTTATCTGGCATGCGCGCTATCAGCTTTTTCTCGTTTGCGCTTGTTTTGTTTGCTCAAGTGGTGGGGCACTTCCGACGCACCGCGCCGATCGACCCTGAACACCAGACCCACTTGGCGAGGTCAGAATCGAGTTGGTGCGCTGGCATCCACATCCACAATTGTTCCCGGGCACGTATGCACGTTGCACTCGAGAAGATTGGGAGGCCAAAGAACACAAGTTGGGCACAGAGTACCAAGTCTACATGTACAGATTACCAAGAGAATTCGCTATAATCGGTTTAATGCGGGATTCGGGCATGTTTTCACGTACTAAATACCCACCATAATCACTAGTAGGTTTTTTTTTAGCCTCTCCGTCAGTTCTTCATTTATAAAAAGTTCATTTAGTTTGTTGACGCCTCAGCAAAAGCATGTTATTGCCCAATCAGCCATGAAATATCAGTGAGCTTTAAAAACGCAAAGCTTATGCTGACACTGTTTTTATAATATGCATACCAATGTTATCTTAACCAAAAGTTAAAATAAGTCAATGTGAGGCCTAACTAACTATAAATGGATTTAAGAAATATTTGCACTTATAACTTTAACAGGCAATAGATAATCATGCTTACTCGTACTGATTATTGAATAGAGTTCGCAGAAATCGACAATGTGGAATTTTCCCTAATCAGTCATAACAGCTATTTATAGAATATTTATTCGCTGTTTTATAACCGTCGTTAAATTAAATAACAAATAATTGCTATTCATATCAAAATAAAGTAATAATAATGATAGGGCTGACATTAATTATACATCATACTTTAAATTTAAGGAAGGTCCTCAAAATTGTTGAAACTAATCAAATAACCACCTCTTTCCTTTACAGCACAAAATCGACATGGTGGCCCACTTTGCCGCCCTGAAGGCCGTTGGCGAGTCCTGCCGCATTCCTCTGCAGTACTACCACAACAACATGACCGGCACGAATGTCCTCCTGGAGGCGATGGCCGACAACAATGTGTTCAAGTTCGTCTACAGCTCCAGTGCCACTGTCTACGGAGAGCCCAAGTTCCTGCCCGTGACCGAGGAGCATCCCACGGGCAACTGCACATCGCCCTACGGCAAGACCAAATACTTCACCGAGGAGATTCTCAAGGATCTGTGCAAGTCGGACAAGGTGGGTGGTTCGTTTTGCCTTTTTTTAGTATCCCATCTAATAGTGTGACTTTTTCAGCGGTGGGCTGTGGTGTCGCTGCGCTACTTCAACCCGGTGGGCGCCCACATCAGCGGGCGGATTGGAGAGGATCCCAACGGCGAGCCCAACAACCTGATGCCGTACATCGCCCAGGTGGCCGTGGGCCGCCGACCCAGCCTGAGTGTCTACGGCAGCGACTTCCCCACGCACGACGGAACGGGAGTGCGCGACTACATCCACATCGTGGATCTGGCCGAGGGACATGTGAAGGCGCTGGACAAGCTGCGCAACATCGCGGAGACGGGCTTCTTTGCCTACAACCTGGGCACCGGGGTGGGCTACTCGGTGCTGGACATGGTGAAGGCCTTCGAGAAGGCCTCCGGCAAGAAGGTCAGCTACACCCTGGTCGATCGCCGGTCCGGAGATGTGGCCACCTGTTATGCGGACGCCACGCTGGCGGATCAGAAGCTGGGCTGGAAGGCCGAGCGGGGCATCGACAAGATGTGCGAGGACACGTGGCGCTGGCAGAGCCAGAACCCCAATGGATATGCCAACAAGTAGCGCTCTTGCCCCCGTTCCTGACCTGCCCTCAGCAAGTTCCTGAGTTACTACACCTTCCTAATAACTCAGGTAATACGTTTATGTTGCCCCTAGCTGTGTATATTTCTTTCCAAATTTCCGTGTAGTATCCCCTGTTTTCGATGTGTGCAAGTGTGTGTATGTAAATCCAAAGTACTTTGTAATTAAAAAAGGCTTTTCGCTGTCGTCATGTAATTCTCTGCTCCCGTATAGTGTTTGTTGACCGCTGGCATCATTAGATGACGTTGACGCGCACCAATTGTCGCATCGCGTAATTAAGGTCGAAGCCAAGGTGGCAGTGGTCGTTACTCGGAGATTTCACTCAGTAATAGCGCATAGTTTACCTGGGAGTAATCTGTGGATCTATTGAATTAGTCAGGCGTCTGTCGAATCCCAATCCAAAATAGATTGACTTTGAGGGCCCGCTAATAAATCTTTAGCAAACAAGCAAGGGAACAATATTAATTGCCAATATAACATAATTCAACATATACAATCCTAAGTCCTTTACATTCATAAATATTCACCGCCTTTCGTAAGACATTTATATAGCAAACATTTATTCAAATGCAATTTAACATTAAAAACTCAATTTTTAAACTTAAGTGATGCGCTTCTACGCACATATCTGCACAGTTAAAGTCATTTATCACAAGTATGTACTATGAATGTATGTCGGTTTCAACAACTTTGCGTTCGTCATTTGCTTCGGTATGGTTTTTGGAATGGTCTGCACATATAAAAGTACAAAATTGTTTATATTGGAGTCTGTTTGAGTGATGGTTCTGGAACTGTTTGTTTATAGTGGTGTTTGGCAATCTGTTTTCTGCTCACGAGCTTGGCGATTCGTTCAACAACGGATGGAGGGGGAAAGAAATCGTGTTCGAATTCAACAAGAAGCATTACTGGGAATGGGTGCTACATTTACGGCTGGCTATGTGTGCGCGATATGCATAAGTTATGAATACAATATATATAATATGGTAAATCTAGGTATGCGGATAGTTTCCAAGGGGCGAAGAGATCCTGGCCAAGATAGGCAGTGGAGGGGATGGTTCAGATGCCGCTTCAATACTGCTGGGGCCCCAGTGCGGAGTGGAGTCCACTTATGTGGAGGTCACGCCCTTGCGGGCCACCAGCATGTTGAGTATGGGGTTTTTCCGGATATAGCTCACGGCCTTTTTGTGGGTGACCATGGTGAAGTCGTAGCCGTTGCACTGGAGGATCTTGTCGTGGATCCGCAGACCGGCGCGTGCGGCTGGGCTGCCCTCGTGCACTTCGGTCACATAGATGCCCTGGTTTAAAAAAGGAACAAGAGTTAGAACATTGTAGATTCTCAAGAAATTACCAAGGCAGAACTAGATTCTTGTATTGAAAACACAAGTGTACACAAATATTAAGACTTAAGAAGCCATTTGGATTTTAAAAACTAATCCCAGTTCAGCTCTTGGTTACTTTTTAACCATGAGCTGATAACTGAGTGAATAACTTTCAATATACTTTTGTAGTAAATATTCATTTGTAGGCTTTAAGGATGAAGCTCTATTTAAGTCAAGAATAGGGTTCTCTAATGGTTTACTCTGAGTGTGGTTGCCCTAGTATCTTCTCACATAATCCGTGTATCCTTGGGGACTCTTTTTGTAGTCCTGGTCGATTCCCCCGCCGATCTTGAAGCCGCACTTCAGGATCTCCCGGCCCTCCTGGTCGTAGTCCTTCTCCTTGTGCAACGTGATGGGGATCTGGAAAGTGTAAGGTCGCGTAAATCGAATGTTCAAATATGAAAGTAGCTTCCCATTTTTTTTGCTCCAGCGACCCAATTTCACCAATACACACAGGCGACTGTGTGCGTGTGAGCCAGGTTTAGGGCATTCCCAACTCACGCTCAAACACTCCATCGCCGTGCCGGCCTGGTGCTGAAACGCCATTTTCGCCATGTCTGCCGATGTTTTGATTAGCTTTGATTTGCTAAATTAGTTTCTAAATGATAATATACAACGTTCTCCTACACAAATGTTAAAATACATTGTTTTCTCACAGAAATGTTAGGGAGCACCTTAGAGGTGGAGATGTTTTCAAAACATCGGTAATATCGATGTTTGGCAGTGCGTCATCGAAGTTTGTTCATCTCTACCGAGTATTGTTGAAAAGTGTCGAGCGGCGCACTGCTTTATAAAATACGTTTGGAGCATGGCACTGCTTAGAATAGCTATCGATATTTGGCGCACATTTTCTATCACTGCAAAGTTTAAATTTAAACTCTCGCATGGAATGCAATGCAATGTTTTCTTGGCAATGTTTTTTAGTTTTATTTAAGTGTTAATACATATTTAGAATCTATAAACCTATGAGCGCCGCATGGCTAGCATGGTGTTGATCTCCCAGATGATGATGCGTGTCCTATCGATGATCTCGCGCAGCTGTCGGTTCTTCAGCTTCACGGTCTCGATGAGCTCATGGTTCTCCTGCAGGACCTTTCGGTACTCATCGCACTGCGAGGGCTCGATCCTCGGCTCCGGCTCATCGCGGTAGGGAATCAGGCTCTCGGCGCTCATGTAGTCCATCCCGGCATCGTTGCACTTCTCGTAGATGATGCGGACCCGCTTGAAGAGCAGCCTGATGGTGCGGAAGTACTCCTGCACCTTCTTCTCGGTGTTGTTGTCCCTGTGCGAGGTGGGCTGGATGTTCTTGAGCGAGGCGAACACCTCCTGGAAGCGCGAGGCGATGTCCTGCACGGTCTCCTGGCCCAAGCGGGATAGCTGCACAATGTTGATCTCCTTGTGGGGATTTTGCTGCGAGATGGCCAGCATATTGTTGTTGCCCCCGGCGCCTCCAGGCGGCATTCCCGCTCCAGGATTGAGCTGCTGCTGTTGGGGAATGTTCTGCTGTGGCATGTTTTGCTGCGGCTGCTGCTGTTGGGGCACCACGCCCCCTCCTCCCAGGCCGACGCCCACGCTGCCGCCCATTCCGACGCCCACGCCCACTCCGACTCCTACGCCCACTCCTTGCTGCGGCATTATCATTTGCTGCTGCTGCATCATCTGCTGCTGCTGCTGCATTTGGTGCTGCGGCGACATGCCGGGCATTAGGCCGCCAGGACCTTGGGGTCCTTGGGGATTCATCTGCATGCCGCCCGGTCCGCCCATCATGCCCATTTGTTGTTGTTGCTGATGCTGCGGCGACATGTGCATCTGCTGCATGTTGCCGTGCTGCATGCCGAATCCGCCCATGGGCATCCCCATGTTGGGGCCCCCACCCGGTCCGCCGGCTCCAGCTGGTCCCTGGTTGCCTTGGTTTTGTCCGTACTTCCACATTTTCCAATCTTATAAAATAAATAAACAACGATTTCGCGACAGTATGTAAGTGGTGTTGGAAAGCGTCAAAAGTGCGCACAAGCAAGCAGCTGTGCCGGCAGACAGAAGTGTTGCCAGACCAGCACCAAATATCTAGTGCTGAAAAACGCCATAGTGACAGTTGAGCGTCATTTGGTGGAATTTTAGCTTTGCTTCCCCATGATTTCAAAAGTGAACTAAAACATGGCCCACGACGATAATAATGGATTCAGTGAATGGGTATGTCTATAATTAAAGCATGTTGCGTACGTATAGAACTCGCAATTTCTCTTTTCAAGGGCGGCTACTTCGAGGCCAAGAAATCCAAGTTGGAGGAGCAGTTCGCGGCCGCCAGCGATCCATTTCGCAAGTCCGACTTATTTCAAGGTATTTCGATATTTGTGAATGGCCTGACTAACCCGTCGGCCGACGAACTGAAGCGGATCATGATGGTGCATGGGGGAACCTTCCACCACTACGAACGCAGCCACACGACCTTTGTGATAGGCTCAGTTCTGCCGGATGTCAAGGTCAGGAACATGAATCTTTGTAAGTTCATCAGCGCCAAGTGGGTGGTGGATTGTCTGGCGAACAAGAAGGTAGTGGACTACAAGCCCTATCTGCTGTACACGAACCAGAAGACCTCGCAGCCCAGGCTTAACTTTGGCAAACCGAAAGACAGCAGTGTGAATGAGAGCAAAATGGAGGTGGAGCCCCCAAAAGATGAGCTGCAAATGGAGCTGGGCGGGATTCTCAGGGAGCTGCAGCAGGCGGTGGCCACTTCGCCGGAAAAGGAGGCCAGTTTGTCCGAGACCAAGATCATCAACTTGTCCACCACTTCGAATACTTCGAGTGCCGCACGCACCGCCGCCGACCCAAATTTCCTGAGTGAGTTCTACAAGAACTCCCGCCTGCACCACATCGCCACTCTGGGCGCTGGCTTTAAACAGTATGTATGTGAGCTGCGCCAGGATCATGGCTTGAAGGGGTTCCCCAAGCGGGAGGAACTCAAATCAGTCGCGAAATCTACCCGAATGGGGTCTGAGCGCTTCGTAATGCATATCGACATGGACTGTTTCTTTGTGTCCGTGGGCCTGCGGTCCCATCCTGAGCTCCGTGGCCTGCCGATTGCAGTGACCCATTCGAAGGGAGGCAGTGCGGCCACCGATGTGCCCGTGCATCCGCAGGCGGATAGGAAGGCCGAGCTGGAACTATTCGCCCAGCGCTTTGAGAACCATCTTCACGACAACATAAAGGCTGATAAGGTGCGCTCGGGTTTCGACAAGAAGATGTCGCTCTCGGAGATCGCCTCCTGCAGCTACGAGGCTCGGGCCAAGGGCATTCGGAATGGCATGTTCGTGGGCCAGGCCTTGAAGCTCTGTCCGGAGCTGAAGACGATCCCCTACGACTTTGAGGGCTACAAGGAGGTGGCCTCTGCACTGTACAATACAGTGGCCCAATACACCTTGAACATCGAGGCAGTGAGTTGCGATGAAATGTTCGTTGAGCTGACCGATCTGGTGGAGGAACTGGAGATGGATGTGATGGCTTTCGTGAGGCACCTCAGGAAGGAGGTGCACCTGAAGACGGGATGTCCCTGTTCAGCGGGGGTGTCAGGCAATAAGTGAGTGGAAAATGTATTTAAAAAAACACTACTAAAGTAAATACATCTTTTTAGATTACTTGCCCGCATGGCTACCAAGGAGGCCAAGCCGAACGGCCAGTTCTTGCTGGATATGAAGCAGGATATACTTTCTTATATGGCGCCTATGTCTCTAGATGCTCTGCCAGGAGTGGGCAGCAGCATGAGCCACAAGCTCAAGCTGGCTGGGCTCAACAACTGTGAAGATGTCCAGAACTCATCACTGGAAAAGCTGGAAACGGTGCTGGGAAAGAAACTGGGCCAGAATTTATTCCAGAACTGCAGGGGAATTGATGAACGCCCCTTGGCTTACGAACAGGTTAGTTTAACAATATTTGTTAGTGTTTATTAATAAAAAAAACTAATTCCTTTATAGGCCCGAAAAACGGTGTCGGCGGAGGTGAACTTCGGCATTCGCTTCACCAATTCAACCGACTGCGAAAAATTTCTGCGTCAGCTCAGCGACGAGGTTACCAAGCGACTAATTGAGATTAAGCGCAAGGCTAAGTCAATCAACCTTAAGATCATGGTTCGTGCACCAGAAGCTCCAGTCGAAACCTCCAAGTATATGGGTCACGGAGTGTGCGACACCATCAACAAGTCGTCGCTAATTAAGCATGCCACGGATGACGTAAATGTGATCACCACGCAAGTCCTCAACCTGATGAAGGAAGCTGATCTGCCGCCCCATGAACTGCGCGGTATTGGCATACACCTGACAAAGCTGGAGGATGCCACCGAAGTTCAAAAGGAGAACGTCATCAAGCGGATGTTCGTTAAGATGACTGAGATGAAGAAAGGTATTCAATTCGATCGAAGTATGCATAGAAATTTACCCTTCACATGCCCCGCAGATCAACCTGTAGTGAAGAAACTATTAATTAAAGTTAAAAATATGGACATGGAACACACGACCATGGCACTGAACGGAGATAAAGGTATACAAACCGATAATTGTTGTAGTTATAGTTTGATCACACTTATTTACCCGCAGATCGCTCGGCAGTGGAGAAACCTCCAGTGGGCGAAATCAGAGCCAAGGCCCGGGAACCGAGGAATGTGATGACCATGCTGACTGCAGCAGCAGCGCAGAATAGGAAATCACTAAACGAGGTTGCAAAGCCAAGAACTCCTGTACTTCCTCTTGGTCCTGAGCTCGATCAGGATATTCTGGCCCAGTTGCCGGAGGATATACGCCTCGAGGTGCTCTCCCATAAGGAGGAGTACCTGCGCCTAGCCGAAAGCGATAAAAGCACTGCAGCCCGAACATTTCGACCTCTTTCTCCGCCGCCTTTGATGAGACTCAACTGCTCGCCGGTCAATGTTAGTCCCCTAAACGCCAGCGATCTCAAACCATCTACTTCTCGGGCTGCCCTGGCTCGTCTGCAAATGCGTACGGATCGCAAGGAGCACGTCCGATCGGATCAGATTGTGGCGGACTACATTGAGGAGCTGCCCAAGCACATGCATCCCGCCATTCTGGAGTACATCTCCCGACCCGCGGATGAAGTGCCCGACCTGCTGATGGGCGACAACTACAAGAGCCTGCTGAACGAATGGGTTAGCCGAGAGGAGGTTCCCAAGCCGCCGGACGTAGACATTATTCACCGACAGATTTCCCATATGATTAAGAACGACATGTTGAATCACATGTACGATGTGATGAAGTATTTGTGCCGGTACGTATTTTGTCTTAAACCGAAGATTTCGTTTCTGTAATCGTTATCCTTTTAATACAGCATCATTAATTCGAAACGCAGCACCTCCTGTTGCTGGCATGTGGCATACAAGCACATCGAGGAGGACATTCAAAACCAGATGCTGGAACTCGAGGGCTACAACCTTTGCTTCATCGAAAACATTCGTTGCTACAAGTGCACCCCATTTCTTGAGATCACTTAAACAATATTTACTGAAATGGTAAAGGTATTTAAATTTTTCTTATTACACTTGGAACTATAGTACTTATAGTAACATTTAAAAATATGAAAAGTTAAAGCCTTTTTCAAACCGGTTATGTTGTTTTAGACAATGTTGACTTCATTACATTTGCCAATTATTTTTATGAGAAAGAATCTCAAAAACACACAACACTTAAACTTTATTTTGAACGGAAAAGGTTATGAACCGGTTATGTTGTCTTAGATAATGTAATGAGAAAGGATCTCAAAAACTATTAAAAATAGTTTTGTTATTTAATTTTAGCCAAAAGAAGGCATTTTGATATTGGATTCAGTTTAGAGAACCAAGTAATTTCAATATTTTTAATAAATGTTATTAAAAGTTAAATGTATTTTGAATTTCATTAGAGATAATTGAGTAGTTCTTCCATTGCTTCACTTTTTATTTGTGTATGTGTAGCTAGCTGAAAAGAAATGCCACCGAGCCATTTACAACTCCAGATGCGCTCAGGTAGCAATTAATGTAGCCAGAGTAACTAATGTCGGGCAGTGGATGCTGTGGATGCTGCGACGATGGCGTTGATAACTTCATACGTTAAAGGGCAGAGCCCCGTCTTCGCGGCGGAGGCTTGGGCCAAACGCCCCGGTGGCTCTTTCCCAGCAAGCCGGGCCACTCAAGACAAATAGGCCAGGCGGGCACAACACCTGGCGGAACTGGCAAGTCATAATTTGCACTTTAATGAAAGCGGCATCGACTCGGCTCGAACAGGTTAGTGTTGAACAGTTCTCTAAAGTCACTGCAGTTAATCGCTGCGACGGCTGTAATATGTAATTGATTCGCATGCCTACCAAGTTTCCCCTTAAGAGTCCCAGAATCAGAATCCCGGCTTCAAGCCAAACCCCTGCCATCAGCAGCCCCATGACAAGCCATAACAATTACAGTGCCAGGAATCCAGAGATGGGTAATATCTAGGAGTTTACCTAGTTAAATGTTTTACAATATTTTGGAAAATATCTTAGAAATACTCGAAATTCAGGGTGAGGTCTAAATGTTAGTTTTCGAAACTTCACTTATTCTTAGCTATTTTTATAAATTATAGTGAGTCTTCTTTAATATCTTCAACATATATTAAGAATTAACTTGTGTAGGATTGGGAATTCTGTTTCAAAATATTCTGCATCCTATTTTTCTACGTCGTTAACAAGTACAATATTGTTAAGGTACTTATATTTTTTTTTTACTCTTGTACAAATATTCATAATGTTCCCCACCTGGGTAAGAAGTTCGTACCATCTCTGAAGGCCACCCCACTTCGGCAGGCAGCTGGAGCTCAGAACCAAGCTGGAGCAGATGTTGGCCGGTAATTAAAAATAGTCAAGCTGCATTTCTGGCTCAGCATCCGGTGGCGATGTGGCTGGTGTCTCTGTGGGATGGGAATGGAAATGGGATGGAGATGGGGATGGGCTGGACCCGGCTCTCGGGATTTACATGAGCTACGCTTTGTCTGATTTAATTATGTGCGCAAAAGGCGTCGTTGTTTCATAAATTTTATGCATCCTGTCGTCGCGGAACTCGGTAGCAGCAACATGGGGCTCCAACTTGCCCCATGTTGTAGTCGAGTTATCTGGCTCAGACCAGATGCAAATGTTGTCAAGTTTTGATAGACTTGTTGGCTGCCAACGCGATTTGTCAACGACTCCTCGCCGGCTGGTTTGGCGTGCTGCTTAGATTCTTGTCTGTGCTGCTTTACTTTGCATCGGCTTGTTTTTGTTCTTCTTCCTTTTCCACAATTGAAACTATTGCTTTACAAATACCAATTGAATTTAAATAGCTTTATCCTATTTAAAGAAGAATTTGAAGGGATTACATTTCTTAAATTGTCTAAAATTGAACACACATTAATTGCGGAATAATGGTAGATAAAGCAATAGTATATATTACTTACTATTATATATATTTTAGTAGAAACTGAAATCAAGCATTTTTAGAGATTTGCCAAAATGATCTCAGCTATCAACAGGTCAAGTTATAAACCCAAAAGAAAAGAAAGGGGTCCTATTTTAGCAAAGCTTAAGTTGAAATCAGAGTCGCCAACCTTTAACAATAATTATTAACGCAAAAGAACAAAGGTTTTGAACATTTTGGGAAATAAATCCACGATCGGTATCGGAATAATATTTGTTAGTCGAATAGTTGTAGGCTGTGACTTAGTACTAAGGAAATCTGCAGAACACTTTGTGTTTTCGGGAGACATGTAGCACATCAAGTAGCTGTGACAGCTATCCTCCACCAACGGAGTGGACTGATGGGTGAGTGTGAGTATCTAGCAGACAGTAGCAACATGGGCCCAAACCGAAGCCCAGCGTGTTGCCAGGCTTATTCCCACGCTCGGGAAGTCAACCGAACTGGCAACAGTAGCTGCCGGAGCAGCTGGAAACTGTCAGCATTATCGGACGTGACTCCGCGACAAGATCACTGCCAGAGTTTCACTTTATGCTCAGCTGGCTTTGGCTGGAAGGCCCTATGCCACAGACATTGCCCACATGTAAATATATGCCTGGTCTGGAGAATTTGAGGCTCTGATGCTGATAGTGCCTGGGGTTTTCTGTTGTGGTTTCGGCTCCTACCAAATAAGTCGCGGCAGACGATTCGGATTTAGCCGCCAAAGTTGCAACTGAGGTTGGGCCTATGCAAAACTTCTAGCCAATTAACTTGGCCGGCGGCAGAGGAGAGACCCCAAGTCTCTGTTCCTGGTGCTGTGCCTTATGATTAGAATCGTCGACAGCAGGCCGCCAAACGGGCACAGCAGCAACAGCAACAACTGCAACATCAGCAACAGCAACAACTGCAACATCAGCAACTGCAACAGCAACAGCAACAACAACTGCAACAGCAGCCACATCAACCGCAAGCAACCAAAGCTAATGAACCATGTTGCCGCTGATGAACCCAAACTGATTAATGATGGTTGGATGGGAAGGAATGGGCCAGCAGTTGCCACTGCGAAATCCGATGGGGTTACACTCCCGAATCCCGATCCCCCTCCAAATCCCTGGGGCCCAGCTAACAACTTAACTAGTTCAGTAGTGGGCTTAGGGTTACCAATAAAAGCAGTGAGAGAAATTTCAATTCAAAGATTGCAAATAGCGCTTTCTTAGGGAATTTTCTTGTTAAGTAGTTTATTCTACATTTATATTTTTTAAAGGTACAAATATATTATGACCTTTAATCTTCTAAAGGAGAGCCAAAATTAGACAAACAATTCTTACTATTATACAATTAAGGACTTGATTTTAAAATGCGTTTTCTGCTTTGTATCAGCTTTAATTTTTTTTTATTTTTTACTTAGAAAATAATATCACTGGCAGGACTTTTTTCACTTGTAGATCTTCACTGTTTTTTACTGTGCAGGAGTAGAGGTTCGCTCAATTTTCGGCCAGCTGAGTAAGGAGCTGACAAAGCCCGGCGAAGGCGATGGCGAAGCCCAATGGCCATGGCCAAAACAAAGGCCGCGCAGGCGCACCTGAGAATGTTGATAGCCCCATGGAGGCAGCCCGTCGGAGTGGGAGTGGAGGTGGGATGGTCAGGAAGGGGGAGGAGAAGGAGGAGAACCAGCTCGAATCCAAGTGCAAGTCGTTTTTTATGCCACTCAAGCGGCGACAACAGGGATTGCAACAAGGGTCTTGAAGACCCGAGGCCGCAGTGGATTGAAGGGAAGTGGAGGGGAAGGGGAAGGGCCAAGGAGTAAACCCGGCCCAAAGCTCGTTTCGGCCGGGCCCTTTATCACATGCGCACATCATTTACTTGAAAAGGAGACAGGGACGCAGCGCACTTCAGCAATTGCCTTTAAAGTGTTTGCGTCGTGACAAAATCAATGTTGGCCGTCTGTTGCCGTTGCGATGTTGCTGCTGTTGCTGTTGCTGCTGTTGCAGTTGCGATGTTGCTGCCGTGCTCTGAAGCAGCTGAAGCTCTGACAGCCTCCTCGCGGACAGTGATTCATGGTTTATTAAGCGCATTATGCCGCAGGACACTTTGAAGTTTCCAAGGAGGCGGAGTTGCACGTGTTTCGAGGCCCTTAAAAATGCGGCAATTGTTGGCTGGCCTTTGGCCAATGGCTTGGCCATGAACACTTGGCCGGGTTCTAAGTTGCTGCCGTTCTGCTGGCCAGCAATTGATTACTTAACGTGTTTTATGCGTACGGCGAGCTATGTGCCGACTGCCGCGTTAATTTGCCTCCGCGGCCTTGGTCCAGACTAAACGTCCAAACAAATTGGCGCTCGGCAGGCGCGGCCGTAAATCAGCGCAGCAGTCAAAACACATCAGCAGCATCAATGGCCAACTGGCCATGCGTTTGGGCCGCAATCTCGGCTTTAGAGCTTCCCATGCCACAAAGAACTGCAAATCCCCAAACCCTCCAGCTGCAGACACCCACATGAGGCGAGACCAATTTCAAACGGGGCGGTTCGAAAATCACTTCACGCGATAAGCCAGTCAATGGAAAAAACGGAGGTGATAGCGTGAGGACAACAAAGTGCATGATTATATCGTGGGGATACAAAAAAACCTCCAAAAATGGATTGTTTTAAATCCTAATCCTACTACTACAACATAAAACCCTTAAAAAAAATTAATCCATAAAGTAGTAGTACTACATGCAATATTATTTTAATTAGTAAAGTTGCCCTCCTTCAAAAATATTCTTAGCTACCAATGTTTGATTATGGAAAATTCAAATAAATCTTTTTGAACTATACTGATTACAAAACTTAAAAAGAAGAAGATTGGTACGCCATAGTTTTGTCCCATAATTAGTTAAAATACCTTAGTATGATGATTAAGTCAAAAAGCTCTCAACATATTCGATTCATATTCGTTAAGATAATAACTCAATTTCGGGCTTATTAGCCAATAGCTCAATTTGGCTCGTGTCACGCGACTTTACTCAGGGTGTGAACCTACACGGCGTATGCGCAACGCTCGCATGTGCAAATGGAATTAATTATGCGCCGCGTAAACAAATACAAAACGAATGGAAATTGAGTGCGAGATGAATTGCCAGGCGGAGATGTTGGCGGGCGATAAGCAATATAAACGCGGCTCTGATTTATGCCCGTGTTGCTGCTTTGGTGTTGCTGCTGCCGATGTTGCAGCCGTGTGTTGCTGCTGTTGCTGGCATTACGTATGCCAAAAATATGCAAATTGGCAATTGGAAGTGTGAACACCGCCAGTGGCAACAGCAACAACAGTAACAGCCCAGCAGCAGCAAGATCAGCAGCAACAGCAGCAACAGCAACAACAGCAGCAGCAACAGCAACAACAGCAACACTCCGAAACATCACCGACAGCAGCAACTTCCCCCTTTGCTATATGCAATACATATATATATG